CACATGAATGAAGAGACATACCTTTGGTCAAGGGAATAAGAGATTGTCTTACTAAAACATGTAACCTCTTCTCACTCATGTGTGCCAGCCTCTTGTGCCATAAATTTGTTGAAGCATCATCCTCAACGATATTTTTTTATTACCATTTAATTACATCTATGTCTTATACATTGTGTAGTATAATTTTTTTCTTACAACTATCATAGATCCTTTGAAAAGCTTTCACTACCTATTATTTTATTGATTCTCATATCCCTTCTTATTAAAGACATTAATAGTAAGCAAGTTTATTTTTATATTCGAAATGTGTTTGACATCCTTCAAAGTCAACATGTAACATGTACTAGTTTGTATAATAATATCATCAATCTCAATAATCTATGACATACTCTTGTTTTTCATCTTAGTGCAACCAAAATCTCATGCTTTGTAAGTTGTAAACAACTCTCTCTTAGGAACACAATGATATGCCACTCCATGTCAACTATCCACTCAATACCAAGATCATTAATATGATTACAATCATTATGTGTACAAATCAAAGTAACTGAATTACTATCTAAATTTACTGCTATAATATTACCATCATCTGAACTCTTGCCTTTCTCATCTTTCCACTCTTACTTCAAGATTTTACAGTATCATTTTATATGACCTATTTTACCATAATGAAAATACTTCACTTTATCTCTAGACTTAGATCTATGTTTAGACTTACTACGATCTTTTGAATTCTGACCTCTGTCGATGTTTTTACCCCTATTCTCTATGACCAAAGCTTAATTCTCAGGGCCTACATCTTTTCGCCTTACTTTTTCATTAAGCATACTGTCATTTATCATCCCCAATGTCACCTTATAATCAGAAACTGAATTAAGAACAGTCACAATTAGAATATTCCAGTTGTCTGGCAATGAACCCAAAAAAAATAATGCGTTCAGTTTATCATTTATCTTAAGTTTCACAGTAGTCATCCGATTAAATATATCTTAAAAATCATTCAAGTGCTCTGAATTAATTATCCATACCTGTACTGTAAAGTTGTAAGCTTTTTAACAAGCATAATTTTATTCATATCTATTTTTCTCTCATACAATACTGCCAATTTTTTTCAAACAATGTGGGCATCTATTTCCTGTGCTACATGATAAAACATGCTGATATCAACTCATTTTTTGATTGTCGCCAACATTTTTCTACCTAATTTCTTTCAGTTTTCATCTTTCATATCTACTGGTTTAGCCGAATATCTAATATTAGCTCATACAAATCTTTGTAGTATAGATGATTCTCCATCATAGGCTTCCAAATTGAATAATTTGATATTGTCAATTTTATCATGAAACCTATATCACCCTCTATGATCTCAAACATAATTTACTTCTGTCTTGGGCTGCTTCTGTATCGTTATCTCAAAATAACCTTGCTCTGATATCACTTGTTGCACCTAAAGCAATAAACACAACAACGCATAAGCAATATATCGTAATAAACCTATAGCAATAGACAATAATCAATAATAAAAATGTAAAAAAAATAAAGCATACCAAGATTTATGTGAAAAATCCTTCAGTGTAAAGGAAAAAATCATGGACTACCAAAAAAATCTCCACTATCAAATAATGGATATACAAAGTTCTTCTCTAACTATAACTAGAACTAATCAACAACTAGAGAGATAATTGAAGAAATTTCACCAAATAGGTGACTCAACAAATACACTATAGATTTGTTCTTAGAGAGCTTCAAACCCGATCTTCACCGTTCAAAATGTAAAACTCTGAATCATAAACATGTTGACAAAGTTTCAACTCAATTGAACTACGGATCGACTTCCTTTCTACCAACTCTCCATTTTTCTTTTTCTCTATACTTTTTATGGCTTTTCTTCTTTCTCTTCTTGGTTTGTGACACCACCTTAAAATAACCCCACCTCTTTTTATTAAGTAGCTAAGGCACTGTGTAAATAGAAAAACTAAGGCCCATGGCTTTTGATTGGTCCAAAATCAATTACATGGGGCTGGACCCCATTTTCCTAACGTTTGGATAATTAAAATTAATAAAAAAATAAATTCTAACAATTATTGTTTGGATAAATAGTGAAAAAGAAAGAAAATGGTTCATTATAATAATTTTTTTCAATTATAACTTTTCATTGCTTGTGATTTTAAAATACTCATGGACCATAATATGTTTGTTATTTGCTGCTATATCAATGGTTTTTTAATCAAGTAAAAGAGGAACATGTTTTACAAACATGCATTGATGAATTTTTTGGCCATTGCCAAAATTTCAATACACTATCACTTTGACGATGTGTTCATACAAAAGCTATTAAATATAAAAAATGCAATCATGTAAAAAAATTACATACTAGTGAATTATATGTCCTTTTTGCACTAAGCAAAAAGTAATACTGGTGAATTATTAATTACTCACATATATTAATTATTATAATAAAAAATTTTAAGCTAATCTGACATCTCGTAAACTCAAAAATATGTTTATTCATATTCAACCATTCATTAAAATTAAATCACCAAAAAATTATAAAAAAATTTTATATTGGAAGAGATATGTGAAACTTACTTGAAAAAAAAGATGGCTTAAAAAAATTACAGGATGATTGTGATTTACTTAGGTTTTTTTATTAGGCTTTTAGTATTAATAAAAAGATAGATATAAAAGTCTTTTTATAAAAAAAAATTTTTAACTTTCCTTTTCCTAGCTTTTCCTCCAAATTGAGGTATTAAAAAAATTGAGTTTGCAGAGAAAATCAAAAGTTATTTGATTTTCACTTTTATCTCTTTCTTTATATTAAAAATTTATCCAAATAAAAAAAAGAGGTTTTGTTTCCTTTATTTTATTTTCTTTTCCTTCCCCTCTCCTCAATCCAAACACACTATAAAGTTTTTATTCAGTTTGCAACAAATCTATCCCTTTCTTTTTCATAAAGCTCTGCATAATTTTATGAATCAATGTTAGAATTTCAATTAATCAAAGTATCAAGAAACCAAGAGAATTCATGTGCCGAAGTGTTGACTGACGATCCTCGAGGTTGGCAGTATGAAAGAATGAATTACTAGAAGGAAGACATGAATTGTGTATGATGATAAACATAACAAAAATAAATACAAAAAATTACCTTTCCTTTTTTGTAACAGTGTACTGTGTTACATGGTTAAATTATCCTAGAAATCATGAACTTTAACTCAACTTCATCGTTAAAGTCACTTAGTTTAGTTAGCAACTTTAATATTTGATTCTGATATGATTGGATGTATATGGATGACTTTATTGATCTGAGTTGAATTCAAATCTTTTTTTTTTTTCCAAGGAAAAGATTATTGCCAAAAGATAATACCGTTCAAAGTTTTTGATGGCAACTAACCATTTGTTATGTGATTTCACAAGAAGTCAAAAAATCTAATTATAGCTGTGAGATTGTGCTGTAAATTTCATATATGTTTGGCTAATTATAACATTGCACATTATGATTATGATAAATTTAGAGAAACAAAGATCATTTCAGGGATTCCATGTGGCTTTTGCTGCCCGTTTATCCAAACAAATCTCAGTTGATGGATAAACAATAATTTCTTGAATTGTGAACTGACAACACTTGAAATTTGTTTCATTTAGAAAGCAAACAATTCAAAGACACAATGAACATGCAACATGTCGTTAAGCACCCAAATTTCTTAAACCTGTTGTTGATTGGTTGATGGAATTGTATTCTTCAGATCAACCTGTCCCTCCCCTTTGCTCAGGGAAATAAAGTGCTGGGATTTCTGCAACCATATGTAAACCATGCATATTGGGATCGATTTGTAAAAGAGAAGAAGCAACTTCTTCACAAAGCAAAATCAAAAACCTTTGTTGTAGGCATGTGCTATGACATTTCAATACAGACACTTGTCACATTCTGGATTCCTAATTAATATGGGGTTGCAGCTGGGAATCCATGTTGCACACATGGGGTACGTAGAAGTGAAAGGTAAAGCACTTGTCTTCCACTTCTGGTAATCTTTCATTTTTTAAAGGGACCCACTGCATTCTGATTTTAGGTCATCAGATTTGTTTGGTGGAAGCTGGAGGCCTTAGCCTTTAGTTTTTTTGGTTCAAAGAGGGGAACGCCCTATTACATGGAAAGGGAGAGGGGGTGGCTTGATTCGAACCCAAGCTCAAATGTCTTCCTTAAGGCTTCTTTGCCCCTAGGCTAAGAAACGAAGGACAACCTTAGGCTTTAGTTGAACTCAGGGTTTGCGGTTTGCCTAACAACAGATAATTGCAACCTCGTTGAGGAACTATGGATGGTAGTTCACATTGATGTCAGAAAAATTATGATATGCTCCAATATTGATTTCAAGATGGTGGGTCAAGGAAAGGGAGAAAAGAATAAGAAAGAAGTCGAAAAACTATCGACCCACAAGATTGTTTTAAGCCAATTAAGCTTTAATTTTTTGGGGTTTGGAGTCCACCTTACTTTTCACTCATGTTGTTACTTGAAATGAATCCATGACTTTTGATATTTTGATCAACAGCACCAAATATTCCAATTTAATACCCACCTAAAACTTTTCACTCAGATTTCAATATGTGGCACATACAGAGCACAGAGCTAAACATCAATTGCATCTTGCTGATAAAAACACAATATCTTTTTTATTTGCTTACCTTTATAAAGAAAACGGAGATGATCACCTTTTATATCTTGGAAAATGACTCCCCACCAAGAATTTGATCTAAGCTACGTTGGACACAGACGAAGCTGGGATTCTAGCAAAGAATCTAGACATGCTTTTACATTAACTTAATAGCTGGCATGAAATGATTTAGCCAACCAGGAATGGGGGGAGAAAGAGAACGGGAATTAAGAATAAACACTGAAGAAGTTTATTCAATCTCTACTATATAGTACGAACAAAAAATCAATATCAAATTAAAAGTGATAGATTCCCTTTTTAAGAGCATAAAGGTTCAATGGTCATGTTGTTTATTCTTTTTTCCAGGTTCTTATCTTGATGACAAAGAACGTGCCAAATTAGTTGGAATATTCTGTGTCAAAATCTAAATCCACTATCCACATTAGAACCATAAGAAAGCAAATAACATATATTACATCTATGATATGTTGTAAGAATCCACTTTCACTGCAAGCATGATTGAGCCTTAATACTGGTTTGAACTTTCAAGTTTAGAATTCTGATATTAATGAGTTTATTTGTCATTTTGTGGGCAGTGAGCTAATGGATTGCATCATCGACAATTTGGCTCCATAATCGTCCTTGATACTTTCTGTTTGTCCAAATATTAAAAAAAAATAAAAAGCAAAATAGCCAATAGGAGTAGAAGCGAAAAAGGAAAAATCTCGGTTGTATTGTAAAATTGGTCCCTATTGAAATAGTGGCTTTGGTCTTGGAAGACCTACCAAAGCTCGAAAATGGAAAAGACGACAAATTCTTTCCCATTACTCCTTCCTGCATCTCACTTTCTGGGCTATGTAGCTTCATAAACCCCACAGACCCCAAGTTGAAATTGGACTTTGTATGTCCATGGCCCATCAACATTTTTATGCCCTTTAATTCCCTATTGGAAAATTCCTATTCCTCAGTTCGGAGAGCTGGGCCAATTTAAAACCTGATAATGACCCAACTGAACTTTTTCTTCTTTCTATGAAAAGTGAAACACAAAGTGTAAGGATATAACACCAAAATGCCAGTGGAAGAAACCAATCAAAAGGAAAATAAAAGGTCCCTTCATATAAATAATTTAACAATCCAACATACCAAAAAGTTTCAAAGCTTAGAGGGGACAATGGCCGCTCTAGTTCTCAGGGTGACTACCACTGATTCAAACCAGTAATTTGAAGACTATAAACTGCTTCACATTAAAAAGGAAGGCTAAAAAAAATAGGGATTTGCAGGCTGAGCTTAAAATGACAACTGATATCATTTTCAAAGCTGGATGGATACACAATAGTTTTAGGAAAAAAAAAACTAAAGTGATCCATCCATTGGAAGACCCTTTTCCTCTGTTATTTCAGTATATATACTGTTACTACTACATATATATATAAAACGCTGACATAACCAAGAAAATCTACTTGAAGAAGGGAATCTACGATTTCTTCCATTTTGCTAGACGTAATAGGAAAGCTAATACTTCTGATGGATCGCGCAAGGAGTACCAAGCTATGGTGTCTTTTGGAATGGAAGAAACGATGATGGGAAACCCTTCCCGTCTAGCTGCTATGACCTGAAACATGGGAAAAGATGGATGTATGTAATTAGATATCTAAGCAATAAAGATTTTGTACAGTTAAACAATCATGATTTAATGTTATTATGTTATAGATACCTTGAATGCATCTTCATCAGTTCGATCATCTCCAATGTACAATGGCAGAACATCTTTGGCATGATTGCTGAATCCTAAAGTGTTAAGCAAATAATTCAGGGCATCACCTTTGTTCCACTCTATTGATGGCCGGACTTCTAAAACCTTTACATCAATTACACAGACAAAATTCAGGATGCCAGGGCAAAAGTTTTTCACTCCATCTACAAAATAGAAACTTTTGCAAGATTAATTTACCCTACCATTTTACCCTCAGTCAGACGAAACTCGGGACGATTTTCAACCAGGGATTTCACTTTCTCCTTTAGAATTCTGTGATCCTGCATATCAACATTGAATTTTACTAAAGATTTTCAGATTAGACTATATTATAATTAATAAGATGAAACTGATTTACAATGAAAACTTTTGGATGTTGTTATATGTCCAACTTTTTGTCTAAAATTTACCTTTGGTGGAACTTGTCGATAATGCACTGAGATGCAAAATCTGTTGTCCTCTATCCTAGCACCTTGTATTTCTCTAATTTTGTCTTCCAACTCTAATGATATCTGTCACAATTCAAACAAATGGAGTAACTTGTCTATGAAAATACATGCACAATAAGTGGAAAAGTCTAAGACAGTCCAATGAAAGACTAAAATTGACTCTGGAAAGTGAGCTTACCTCTTGAATTGCAGGTAAAAATAACTTGGCAGGTTGAAAGCCTCCTTCATTCCCCTGCCCAATACCAAAATGAAATCGACCTCATAAAAAAACGATCTCTAAATGCAAAGTTTTGCCAGCTTTATTGGGTTGGATAAAGCAACAGACCTTTTTATCACAGGACTTTACTGCTCTGGGTGGTGCCATTATGTCCATCCCATGACTCCCAGCATAATATACATCATTTAACTGTACAAATTCTTTAACCTGAATAAAAAATAGGCTAGATAGCATCAGCCTAGGCTGTAAAAGTTTTCGAAAGTGACTCAACTGGCTACAGTTGATAGATTGCTCTTACCTTATCTCGGCTCCTACCACTGATAATAGATGTCGGAAAATACTTTGCAACTTCACGCACTGCCGCACGCATCTGAAATGAAGAACTTGTGAGGTGCTTTACAATCATGATTAACATTTAACAGATGATTTTGTCTAATAATTTTGAGTCAAGATTTATGTGCATGAAAGTGTAATATCAAATGACTACCTCAGCGGACATAAAGGCCTTATCAGGGTCTTCAACAATAGGTGAAAGGGTGCCGTCATAATCTAAAAACACTACGACCTTTTTGCCCTTGGCTTCTTTCATAACGGAATCAAATGAGCTCCAAGCAGAAGGGTGCTTCAGCTGATAATATAAGAGTCATACACAAATTAAATGGTGCACGGCAACAATAAAAAACCAGCAGGGAAGTTTAACAGATAATAATATGCTTGGCGGAATGTTATATGCCAAAGCAATGTGATAATAATCAGTCAGAGAGACAATCACCAGCCATGAAGCATAGCCTGCAACATCAGGTGGGCTTAATAATCTCCCTATCACAGAGCCATTGATACCATCATCATTGTCATGATCAGTCTCTGGACCCAAGAAAGGTTTCCGCTTCTGCCTATTGGAATGTGATATTTGAAATCCCATTGTCTTGTTAAACTTTGCCAAGTTCCTCTTGACCATTTACTTAAAATGAAAAGAGAAGTAAAACTTCATTAGAAAAAGCATAAATGAACATTTCTTTAAGACTATCATAAAACTTGACTAATATGAAAGAAAATGAATTTTCGAACAATCACTGATCAGTTTCATGAAACGTTTTGCTACTATTCTACTACCATAATCCTGAAGGCTTACTAATTAATGAAACCGTTCAACTTCAAAGTGCCCCAAAACAATGGGTTTTGTTCTCAAGCTTCTGTCCACTATCTATTACTCACTCTCCTCAATTCTCGTGAAAGAAAAAAAAAATCCTCTACCGCTAGATTGCCAACAACATAACACTATATATAGAAACAAATACTTCGTAACCAAGCAAAACAAATGTGTATTAAAAAAAACAAAAACAAAACAAAACAAATAACACATGCCAAAAGCTTGCCCTTTATTTTCTGAAAAAAAGAAAAAATTATTCACCATATTATAAAAAGGGACTACCTAAATTAATCTAATCATAACGTAAACTAACAAAAAAAAAAAACCTTGAATATGATCCAATGAAAATTAAAGTCGAAGCCCAAAAGAATTTATAATTTAATTTAATTAGTTATACATTCATTTAAATTATAACATTCAATAAATTTAAAATTTAAATCTCAACATTTATAAAATTTTTTCTTATCCTATAATTTTTTTAGAAATTCAAGTCCAAGAAGAATGATAATCAATTAATTTCGATCTGTTTTTAAGTTTTGGAGTAACTTCGAATTAGAGTAAAGCAATACCTTTAGGTAATTAAAGCTCAATGAAACGTATTAGAGTTATTTACCACAAATGAAAGCAGCTGCTGCCCAATAATTCATGGTGAAGTTTAATAGAACTAGTTAACCGAAAATCCCAGCTTCGTGCATAATATAAGGTTATTTCTCACTCTTTTCTCTTTTAATTGGCAGGGTTGGGCTGCCCCTTAATTTACAGAGTAACACAATTAATTTGTTGCGTATGGAATTCCCAAATTCTTCTTACTATATATGGGTTAGGTCAAACAATTTGATTACTTAAAAAGGCTCTTTTCAACTAAACATCCTGTTTAATTTGTGAAAGAAAGTCAATATTCTAGTACCAAAGTCAATATTCTCTAGTCTAAACTTAGAAGTCGGCGGTGTTCCATAACACAAATTAAAACCCGAAACAATTAAATCGAGGGCAAAATTATTTTTTTTCATAAAGTTTAAGTGAAAAGAAGCAATCTCATATCAAAATTAAAGTATATTGTAAGTTTTAATAAGAACTTACATTTGATTTATAAATTATCATCAAACTGTTGTCAGCAGAAATAAAATTTAAACTTTATTAATAAAATATTCAATTTTTATCAACCCAATATTAACGATAAAATCATTTTCACGAGATAGCTTAATCATTTAAAAATTAGGGTTTATGTTTTTAGTACTTTGATAATTAAGTCTTTTTGTTGCCTATAAAAATTGCTAACTAGGGCCACTTTCATGGAAAAATAATAAGCTTACAAGAGTTTTAAAGGCATAATTGTGGGCTTTCTCCAGATTGGATGGTTTAAGAAAGGTCACTCTGTTTAAAACTTCCTGTGAAATGAAAGTACAAATATAGGAAACAAGAAAGGCCAATATGATTAATCAGATAAGTTAGATTTGATGAGTCAACTGCTACTGTTCGGGCTTGAGAGTCTTTCAAAGTTAACATAATCAGTTAACAACTTAACAGACTATATTAAGAGCAGAAATGAATAATTAGTTAACATACATACTTGATTAATTAAAAGGTTCATCCTCTATAATTACCATGAAGCAGTAGTTTTCCTTCCATGGGAGGTTCATTTGGTCCCCTCCTCCAACAAAGATTTTCTAGCTCCACTGAGAATGCAGCAGATGGAAAACATTTGATGGGTTTTTTATTCTCTTCCATCACCTTTTTTGTCCACATTACATGACAAAAAACCAACTCAGTTTTATGTCATTTTAAAGCTGATATGATAGCAATGAATGATAAGGAAAAACAACTTTCACTTTGGTTGGTGCATACACAAACGAAAACTATAGTACCAATTATCAAACAATCTCCCTTTTTTTTTTTTTTTCTTTTTCATTAATGTTTTCCCTGACATCCACTAACGTGCTCATCAATATCCTCATCAGCAGAAACAGCCAAACTCCATTGTTAGTTGCATTCTTGTACTTGGCAGAACCAAACCCTCAATAAACAAAAGCTCCCTCAACATGATACGTTCAGAGAGGAAGCTTGTATCCAATGCAGCCATGAATTGACTTGTGTGTGTATGTATTGTTTTTTTTTATTTCTGTTCATAATTTGTATTTTTTTAAAGAAAATCTGGATGACGTTTTGAAACTACTGAGGTGTGAAATTAGAGAAAAAAAACCATGAACCTGGTTAAGTTTTGAGACCACTGACTGAGGTGTGGAATTAGAGAAAAAAACCATGAGCCTGGTTAACTTATTTTAAAGTACAAAGGACAGACAAAATCCACGTGTCGATAGATGAATGGTTGATTGAGAAGTAGCGGGAGATCTGGGTGTTTTGGATCGACACGTCGAGACACGGTTTAGAGTATAGACTTTAGACTTTAGACTTTAGAGCAAGGCTCCATTTATTACACATAAATTGACTAGTAAAATATTTTTTATATTTTTTTATTTGTTTGATGAAAACTATTGATTTAAATAATATGTATTCTGATTAAATTTTTAAAAATTATGATTTTAAAAAGATTTAGCTGCCTAATATTATTTTTTAAAGTGAATTGATTAAATAAAAATTAAGAGATTAAAGAAAAATTTAAAAATAATTAAAAAAATAAAATCGAAACTTAAAAATTATTTTTTATTTTTTAAAAAATTCGAAAACAGATTAATCTAAGAAATCGAACTATTTGTCAGCTTAATCAAACTAAGAACAGACCTTGGAACAAGATTATATAAATAAAGTCCTTGGCAACCAGACATAACGCAAAATGACGAAATGTGTGGGTCCAAAGAAACTGCCAGGAACTGCAATTTGAATGCTTAATTAAGTTTATTAATTTATTGAGTAAAACTAAAACGTATTAAATGTGATTAAGAAATGTTTAATGAATTGATAGGAAATAAATTAAAGAGCAAAAGCAGCCAATGCATGACCTCGTAAGTGACACCTTTTCTGACTTCGTGACTTTTGGTTTAAGTCAATTATTATCTCATGTTCGCACCTAATTATTTTATTAAGAAATCTATATATAATAGAGTAAGGGTGGACCGTTGTTAGATCACCTAAATCTCAGAAAAAAAAAAAGACATAACTTAATTAAAAGTACATGTCTTTTTTGTAGTTGGTTCTGATTTTCTGAATAGCGGTGATTGTTTTTCCTTTTTTTGTAGTCGGTAGAAAAGCGATGGATTTTTTTATTCCTTCCCGAAGATATTATTCAAATGCATAAAAACGTGAAAAATATTATTTTACTACCAAAACTGGAATAAACCTTCTGTCAATTACAATCTTATTGCAGAAAAAAAAATCAAGACGTAATGAAAGGTTTAGAATAAGATTGTTAATAGCGTACCTAATAACATTTTAATTTTTTTAATTATGTGGTATAATCTGTACTAGTTATTTTGGTATATTATTTTAAAATTTTTAATTTAGTATAAATATATTTATAAATATATAATTATATGAACTTGCATATTATAATTCTATTAATAATTTACAAAATAAATATACAATATCTTTAAATTTTAAATAAATAAGTTTAAAAATAAAAAAATAATATCATAAATTTTTTATGATATTTTTAAATACTTAATTTAATCATATGATATTTAAATAAATTTTTTTTCATGTAAATATTAACATAAAAATAAAAAAATTAACTTTGATTTTAGGATTGTTAAACTTTATAAATGAAATATAACTGCTTTCTTAAAAGATATTGAAATATTTATAAACTTTTATTTGAAAAAATAAAAGTATAGTAAAAAATATAAAAATTTAACTTTTAAAAGTTATTTTGTTTTTTATTAAATTAAAAATAATCAAATAATAAAAGATAAATTATAAAATATGTTTTATTTGCCCTATCGAAAGAAGTCAATCTACTAAAACTAATTGAACCCAATAAAAATAAACAGTATTACTCGATATTAAATTTGATATAAAAATTATTTTTAAATGTATCATATTTTGATATAACTAAAATGTATCGATTCATATATCGATACTAAAACAAAATTTAAAATTATAATTTAAAATACAAATATCAACATTTTTATTGTAGGGTGAGACTAATAATACGATCAAAGATAGTATTAGGTTTCAAAATTTTGTTTCTCTTTTTCACTTTTGTGCGTTAAAAAAATTGAATTCGGTATATTTATTTTATAAATTTTTATAATATTGATAAATAATATCTTTTATTGTAAAAAAAGAGTAAAAATATAATTTGGAACATAGAAAAATAGCAAAAAAAAAAAACTGTATTTAAAATACTAAATAATTTTATTATCATATTTTTTAAAAAAAATGCTTATAAATTATATTATGTAGCAAAAAATTATAAATCGTATTTACTCGAACCATCAACCGCTATATTTTGAACTCTTTTGTTGTTTCCTTTAATCGATGCACATCGATTAACATAGACCATAGACAAAACAAACCACTCATCACTGTTAAAACGATGCCTCCAACCGTTTTTCAAGTATAACTGTATAAGTCGTTTCTGTAAAAAGTGCCTTGGTGAGACGGCGTACCCGTCCCCTATACCCCATTACGTTTTCAAATACATTTTAACACTAGTCGGTCGAACCTACAATCTCAACCCTACACGTGGCAAATCGTGCTATCTAACGTCTCTTGTTAGTCAAGTGGTTTAGGGCCTGAATCGAAGAGACAATGAAGTCTATGTCGGTTCGGATGGCCCAGTCAATCAGTCGGGCCGACAGAAACACGTGTACGATTGAAAACCCGTACGTTTCATTCCTCGAATTCGAAAAGAGAATCAATGTTTCTCTTTTCCATAACAATATCGGTACACACGCATTTTTCATTCAAGCTAACGCATGATCTAAAAACGAAAATAGGATGAAAAAATGGCATTTTTCATTTTTAAAAACTAATAATAACATGCAGAGCAGAGAAATACATATTATAAATGAAATTAAAGGCGAAGAAAATGCTTACCAAAACTTAAGCTGATTCGTCGAGAGAATTGTTGATGATTTTTAGTATACAGTTGAACGTCGAGAATCCCACCGAAGCAGAAAATGAACAGAGGTTTAATCAAAGTAGGAAAAAAAAAAAAAAGCAGCTTGAAATGAAATAAAATTATGGAGAGAACAAGGAAAATGAAGAGAGATGGGAAAGCGTGACGGAGGGGTTTTATTTATAGAGGAAAGGGCTGAGAAAGAGGGGGGTTTAAAGGAAATTTTTTTAATGTTTAATTTTTATATTTTCTTTTTTTGGAATTTTGCTAACAATTTTTAATTATTTATAGCATTTACTCGTTTTGCAGTAAAACTTCCTAGAATTTACCAGATTCGATGTTTGCTGGGGTCGCTTTATAATTTCCAAACCACTCCTTTTTTTTTTTATTTATTGTTATAACATAGGAGTATTTTGGTAAAAAATCTTTTCTGTTCATCACGTTTTTAATTTCTCATTGATTTGCTCACACTTTCTAATTAATTAAATTTTCAAATACAATCGTCATTAGAAAAAGTAAATAAAAAACAAAAAAAAGTTATTTTGGTAATAATAAAAATTCAATGAATAAGAATTTATATCTGATTATGCACGCAGATTTTACACGGACCATTAATCTTTTGAATAAATAGGAAGTCACAAGTTATTGGGGGAAAAAATGAAACTGAGGTTTATTTCATTGTATATGTTGATGGTCTTTTAGGTACGGTGACTTGATGCTTTGCAAAACATTGGTTTCGAAGCTGATTGAGAGATTGGGGTGACATGTAAAAGAAGGATGATATGGGGCGCGAGAGATGGGATTTCAGGACGCGTTCTCTCGTTAAAGTCAGTAAGATAGAGTAAATGAGGGAAAGTAAGAAGAAAAAGGAAAAGATAAGGAATTAGGTGAAAGTAATTGAAAGTGAGTAGATAATTTAAAATGAAATATTTTTATCTCGACCTTACTTTTTATAAAATGAGTTTATGTTTTTAATCAATTGATAATTAATTTGTGTCGACGTAACCAATTAATTTACTTAAAATTAATTAAGTATCGAATCAATTGAATTGAATGATTAATCATCATCCTGATAATCAATGATTATATAACGATATATTTTGATAAGAATCAAAGATAATGATTAATGGAAGAATCTTAAATATTTCATAGATAAAACTGATAGTACTAACAAATTTATTTGAAATTATCTTAGAAAGAACATTTTAATTATTTAAAGTATTTTAGACGTATAAAGAATGTGCTGAACAAAGGTTTTTGATAGGTTACGCAAGCTTTTAATTCCTTGTGAAAAAAAAAATGACATACATTGTATTTGTATTTATAATTTGGTTTTACTGGATTCCTTTCCATATAAAGAGAATAAAAAAAGGCTTTAAAGTTAGAACGCATTCAATTTATTGCGGGAGGGGGCCACCACAAATTTTACCAATCTATAGTAAAAATGGAAAATACACATTATTAAATTGAAAATATGGTTACAAAAGTTTGGAATTTACTGTGGTTGCTTTGTTAATTAAAAAGAATAACTATTAGGGAAGGTTAAAAACAATAGATAAATAAAAAAGCAAAATCACCGAAAGTCACTATTGCTTAGTTCTTCAATAGAGGGAGCGCCTGTGTCTAATTTAACAGTACATGGAGAATATCTCCTTCAGAAACCAAGCTAAAAAAATAAATTCTTAGTGGAATTTGATACTGGAAGTACCTGGAACATGACCTTGAAAAAGGACTGCCTGAGAAACTTCCTTTGTATACTTTTTGGCTTCTGGGCCATATGCCCGCCTAGTAAATAAATAAAATGGGTATTAAGATTCTCCGTTCACATTTTGACAAGTCTTCTGCATTGATGTCTGCAAAAGAAATTCTACGCTTCTAGGCCCTATGGAAATAGTAGGACTGGGTTTACTTCAACAAAGCCGACAAAAGTCAATAAAAGGGCGTTGATTTCTTCTTCTTTTTGTCTTCACAAGATGTTGGGGGTAGAGATCTTTTCTTCATTTGGAATCTTCGTTTGGCGAACAGGTTATAGGGGTGGAATTGAGTTTGGGATTTGTCTCTTTTGTCAAGTGGGCCTCGTTAGTCAAAAAATAATACTAATAGAATGTGAACAACCCGTGGCAAACTGACAAACTCGTTTGAGATTTCAAGCTCAGCAGTTTACCGTTTCACAACAGTATTGACGTTTCATTGCCATGAAATATCAACTTCAAGCCCACAAAATTGAGTTGTCGGAACTGAAGCCCACAGTAACAGGCAATGTGACTAACCAAAGCATTCTCGTCATCAAAAAAGAGTAATGGGCCAAGGAGTGAAGTAATTGGTGTAGAGCTTGAAGGTTTCTGCATTTTCAACCCGACCTTCAAGCCTCAGAGCGGGTAGCAAATGTTAAGGTTTCCAGTGGGTACTTCATAGTGTTTGGATAAGGCCTAGCTCACACCAGGACAACATCATATATAGAAGCAACTCCTACTAAAGTTTGAGTAGTCAAGCATGAGTTTTTGAATGAAGCTTTTACTATCAAAAAAATAATTAAAAAAATGTACCGCTCTTGGATCCAAATATGGCACAACAAAAAAAGCAATTTCTACAGTTTGGACCAAGCTTAGAATATCAAAACTCACCAAGCTGGTGCAGTCAGTAGTCTCCATATTCTATATTCTTAGCCTTCTCAGCATTATCAACACATCAGCATCCTATGGTTCTGTTGGAAAGCACCATTGATTAATCATCCTTAGCTTGTTTGCTATTCTCTACAAACTATCATTCCTGGGCTTTTGATCAATTCTCTCCTCCAGTCCATCTCCGTCACCTTCTCTTGCACTCTTTAACATCTCTTTATCAGTTTTCCGAGAATCATCTTCCACAGGTGCTTCATTGGCTTCTTTAATTACCTGAAGTAGCTCCAAAGGGGTGGCTGCTGGGTCTAACTCACGACATCCCATTGGAGCATTATGAGCTTCTTGGCCTGTAAGCAAGTAATTAGGCACCTGATGGGAAAAGCGAAACATCTCTTCTTTTGGAATCGTCCTGACTTCTTCAGGGTCTAAATGTTTATGAAAAACTGTCCTAAAACCATTAACCTTAATTAGAGGGACCACAGAGACTCCTTGTTCCTCATTATAATCATCAAGCACTTCCACCATGTCATATTTGTGTATCACTTCATCCGGTGTCTGTTCATTCCAATCAGGAGACCAGTTCTTGTAGACAGCCCAGACATCCCCTTTTCTAGGAAATATTCTAATTACTCCTCGCGTACCTTTTGTCCATAGAACCTTGTGGGAGAAAGAATTTAATGTTTCACTAATTTCATGTCTGCCACTTCTAAACTCCCCACAAGTTTTGGAGAAACCAGAGCCTATCCAGTCCAGCACACCAAATTCGCTGTTGCTTCTTGAATTAAGCCAACTAATTTTCATCTTAAAAGGTTTCAAGGAGATCACCCTGTGAACTCGAGCATAGAAACGGGGCATCCCATCGTCATCATCATATGCAGCCCAGACCTGGTCATCTTCAAAAGAACTTTCACTTCGATCCAAGTCAAAATTGTGAAAATCAGGATCTGGAACATTTATCGACAATGGTGCAATCCCTGTATCTGATCCATCGGGAGAAGAGGCAGGCAGAGACTGCTTGTCTTGATATTCTTTATTGGTATCAAGTTCATCTCCGCTGGCCATGCTCCTCTCTTTCCTATTTTCTTTCTCTCTGACCTTCTCTTTAACTTTGTCAGCATTTTTGGCTTCAGTTACAGAGCTCCAGTCCTTAAGCTTTTTACGAATCACAGTCTGAGCCTTATCCATCAGCATGTTTCGAATTTCAGACAATGACAATTCTCTCTCACTGATGGGCTTGTTATAGTTACCAGAGTACCCATGGGTACTTCCTATTTCAAAAACACCCCTAGATTCAAATGTGTTCCCCAAGCCAGGTCCATTTCCCATGGTTGTTTGACTTGATATGTTACCTACATAACCATCAACACAAATATCATCTTTTCTCTTTTTCAGGAGTCTCTCTGCTTTAAGAGCTTCTTCATGCTCCCTTTTCACTTTCTCTTGTGCCTTCCAAACAACACTTGCAGCTTCGGCACTGGTGGAAGGTGGTCGAACAGTACTACTAACACCAGCTGCCCCAGAGAAAGGACCCCATTGGAAGCTTGTATTATTAGATGAACCATGACCGGCCAATCCATCATGTTCTGAATTTTGAGCAATAGAAGAATTTGTTCCATAGTTAAATGGATTATTTTTAGCAGCATGATGCCCTGAAGCCTGCTGTTGTTGGCTAGACCAATTTGATGTCCTGTAAACATTTGGAGGTGGGGCCTTTTCTAAAGCCAAAAACGCTTCTTGACAAGTAGGGCATAGAAGTGTGTGATTCAGGTAAATCCTGAGGTATTCATACTGTGTCTTGCATCTATTGCAAACAGTCCAAAAGGTAGCAGGCTTCTTATCAGAAGCAGCAAATGAGGTTTGACCTACCTGGCTATTACTGTTCTGAGTCCTAGCATTTAACTTTACATTAGAACTAGAACTGTGAGAGCCATTTGCTCTGGGTGGAATTGATGAAACCCCACTCTGTGTGGGAAACTTCAGTTGTGTTCCCCTGAAATTTATCTTCTGGTTATACGCTAATCTCTTAGACTTATCTGATAACAAGCTCCAGGCCTCTGAAACAAGCTTAAAAGCTCCATCTGCACCTACCAACTTGTTTTTATCAGGGTGAAGCATCAGAGCCAGCTTCCTGTATTGTTTTCTCACCGCCTCATCATCGGCCAATGGTTTCACACCAAGCACACCATACCAATCCACTTCCCCACTCACTTTATTCTCAGCAGAAATATACACATCAAGTGTTGTCAACATCTGGGCAATACCATCAAGCCCAGGATACAAATTTTGAGCCTTCAAAGCAAACTTTTTGGCTCCAGCATAATCCTTCTCTGTAACCTTCCTTTCAGCAATTTCTTTTGCCCTGAATGCCTCATCTTTGTTGCACTCCATAATTTCTGAGGTAATTTAATGTGTTTCTTCCTCACCTAGGTATTATGAATATGACACAACTCCAACCAAAACCCAGGGTTTGCAGCTTAAGGCTCTTTCATGCCTTAAGACAGAGGTAACAGCTCCAAGTTTTTGATGCCTGGTCCAATGGAAGAAAAACTTCCTTGATAAAAAGATACATATGAATTAGAAACTGATTGAGAAGTAAATGCATTAGCAATTGCATAATATTTTATAAGCTTATACTTTGCTAAAAACAAACAAGACAAATCTTTATTTGAAACTTAAGTTTTGGTTGCTTCCTAGAGAAATCCATATTCTTAAACATAGATCGCATATTTCTTTATCTGACGCTACAATCTCACCTTAACAAGAAACAAGTTTCACGATTATTTCAGCAGAAGCGTGAGTGCAAATTTCGATATCACTCCAAATAAATATCTAATGCACACGTAGAACAGAAACTGCAATCCATAATCATTGTAATACTTTCTCAAAAAATAGTACAATATCCAGCATTTCTTAAAAAGCTCAAACACATTCCATTTTTATCTCAAGTGGTAAAGTTTAATTTCAAGGCAATGTAACTTGAGCTGGAATGATTAATAATATAAGACTATCCTTCCAAGAAATACCTCATGGTGCAACCAGTAATCATTTCTCTCTCAAGCCCATTAGCACGAGAGAAAGAGAGAGTTTTATGTGGATTTAACTCAAACCACAAGAATATTTGTCCTTTGATTTTTAAAAAAAAAAATCTTACAAGTCAACATAACTTTAGTCAAGAATTTATCTTACACTCAGATGAAAATGTGACCAGGAACTCAAACACCTTGAGGAAATTAGGCACTTACAAACAAAAGAGGAGAATGCAGATATTGAATATGATTAACTACGGACATAGTCAAAGATGCTGTAACTAGACTCATACATAGGGAAGATGTAACTACCATCTAAATGCTAAACACATGAACACTGATACATATGCAATTTCAAGTATGTGGAACATATATAAAAGCATAGTTTTTTTTTTTTTTTTGTCTGAGAACTGTCTATGCAATGAAAAAATAACCAAAATTACTGATCCACCCAAACAAAGTTTTTTGCCAAGCACCAAACCTTCATCAATGGCTAACACCTGTTGAGAAAGGGACAAGCAGTTTTTTTTAAAGCCGAACAACAATAACCATGGTAGGCACATGCCACATACCAAGTCCTACAAGTTATACGGTTGGCCCACATATAATCATAGCATCGATCAGACATGCTTAGTTTTTGCTATCCAGACAACAGTTGTCATAGATAAGAGCTTTACACTTTGGAGACCTAATCAATGGTTTGCATCATGCATTTCTAATACCAATAATATTTAGCTCTTTAACAAGCTTACTGAATATTGGAAAAATAAAATCCTAAGTGAACACTTAACTATCTGTTTCATAAGTTCAATACCATCAGTTTCCATTTCACACACAAATATATAAAACAAATTGGTTACGGCTTTTTGTTTATCTCTGGCGTCCCTCACCTAGTTTGGACGTTGGGAATTAATCAAGGCAAAAACGATTACCAATTTCCACAATAATTCTGATGCAGACTAACCTTCACCAAAAACAACCAGTCACCAACATTCCAAACATAGAATACCCGGAAGTTTCATACATACCAACAATATGACTCATAATATATGAAAAGCAACACTTTAATTTCTTTTGATGCAGATCACAAGTTCACCAACTTGTTATGAGCAACAATAAAACTATCATATTACAGATGCTTGAATTTTACACCTCACCCCACCTATTATGAAGCTAACTTACTCAACATACCATTTCCTCTAGAGAATACCGTCAACGAACTCAATTTCTCAATCCTAAGCACATTAACAATTATATCTGCATGTAACCACAATGCAACAAGCCCACGTAATTTAACCAGTTTCTTTCTTTTTCTATTTTTTGCAACAGTCTAAAACCTCAAAATGCTAATTTCTCAAGAAAAAAACTTGCCATGAAAATCCAAAATAACTCCAAATATTGAGGATAAACAGCTAGATGAAATAACTTCAGAAGGTAAAAACAACCTTGATATAAACTTTCCTCAGCATTTCTTTAGTCTTTAGTCTTTACTCATTAAAAAAAAAAAAAGAAGAAATTTAAGTCACATTGAACAACCAAAAGCAGAAATCCAACTCTGATTCAAACTACCGGGAAAGGACACAGAAGAGTAAATTGACATTTCCAGGTCTCCAAGGATCTACAGTTAACCGAGATTCCAACAAGCTTTATAACGGTCAAATTTGGCCTTTCCAATCCCTATTACCCTGTAGAAAATGAAAACCCTAGACCCTACAAATTTTCAACAAACAGTCCACAAAAATCACAAGCCAAGCCACAAAGAAATGATCCTTTTAAAAGTGAAAAAACACTTGGAAATAAAAATATATACCTTTCTAAAGGAAGTCTCTGGAAGCGAAGAAAATTTTGAATCTGAGACAAACATCACAGGGTACAGTGACCCATTTGTCAAAACCCCAGGAGATCCCGGGGAAAATATTTTTCTCTTTTTTTTTTTTTTTTTTCTGGACTGAAAAAATGAAAAATAATAAATAAAATAACAAAAGGGGAAAGCCTGAAAGAATGGGGTTGGTTTAATATAGGAGTACTTATTATTAACTTTTTTGTGTTAACCCTAATACAACATTTTTATAATGGGTTTTGATGCAAAAGGACTTAATCATGGTTAGTTTTCAACTATTCTAATGGGTTTGTAGTTATTATTGTGGATTCTAATAAATAAATAAATAAAATATAGATTTTGTTTATATATTTATGAGAAAAAATTGAATTATGTTTATGAATTGAGTTCAGTCAAATGTGCTTAACACTTTTAAAAGTTTGTTTGTTTCTATAATTGAGGTTATTAAAATTTTAACCTTTAATTATTATAATAAAATTTTAGTATTCTACTAACAAAAAAAAATAATTATTTTAAAAATTTGTTGGAGGTCCTGTTTAATTTATTAATTTAAGTCATTTAATATTAAAATTATATTTTTATTTTAATATTTTAAAATTTTAAATTTATTTTAAAATATAATTATTTAATAATAAAATAATTTTATGAGCCTAGATTGAACCAAATTTGAAAAATCTTATCCAAAACCAAACCCACAATCTTAACTAATCACTTAGCCCATGAGAAAATCTAAAAGTCAGTTTGGTTTAGAAAAATTCGAAAATTGTTTTTTAAAATTTTGATTATGGATATCTAATTCGTAATAAAGTTCAGAATTATCTGATTTCTGAAAAAAATATTAGATTTTTCACGGTACTCAAAAATTTTAAAATCATAAACTCACATTTATTTATGATATTTTATTGTTTCAAACGAAAAAATTGTTTGAATTTTACATTTGACTTGATAAAATATTATTTCTTTCCATGTTACTCTTTTGAAAAACGTCTAGTAATAAAATCAAAATTTTCGTTAAGTCAATTACAGTATTTGTAATGAATAAAATACAATAATTATTCTATATGATTTATATTCCATATTTTTATTAATGTGTTTTTTTAAAAGTATACAGTAACTATTCTATGTATGACTTTTGCTCAAAATCTATTACTAAACTTTTTTAAAGAAATAAAATAATTAATAACATTTATTGCATTCTTTTATTCATTACGCACTAATTCATCATTATAATATTTTTAATATCATCAAATACTGTATTTATTTAAAAAACAACTTAGTAATTATTTATTATTTTTTAAAAAAATCAATTACTATATTTTTTATATAAATACAGTACTTGTACAATTTAAATTTTTTAAATAAATCAAATAGTGCATTTCTTTGAAAATAAACACAATAATTAATCACAATTTTTTTTATAATTGATTGCTCGGATATTGCAATATTTGTCGATTATTTTTTTAAATATTATATTTGTTATATTGTCACAGATATTATGATAAAAATACATAATTTAATAAATTCAGATTCCTCTCAATCAAATACGAAAATCTAAAAATGAGATACCATAAAAATCACATTTTTCCCCAAAGATCACATTTTCCTGAATATTACACTTTCTTCTAAAATCCAAGATTCCTAGAATCAAAAACCCCCTAAAAGAAATCATAGTTTTTATCTTCATTTTATTTACATTTTACAAAAATAAAAAAGTATTTACTGACATAAATAGATACATATATATTTTAAAATATATAATTTGAAACCCTTTTTCAAATTATTTATATATATGCTTTACCAACAAAATACATATACATGTATGTATATGTACAAAAATCAAGTATATTATTAGTACATGTACACAAATAATATGGCACTTAGGATGCATATGACACGTTAAAAAAATAGTTAAAGTCTGATAAAAAAAAGAATGGCATCAAAATGGGTGTGAAAGGTGTGTACATCAATTATCAGCATGACTACTCCAAAACCTCCATTAAAACGAATCACGATTGTACTGAATTCTTATCATAGTCAAGTGGAATATTAGATGCACAGGATATCAGTTAATAATGCGTAAATTTTAAAGCACTATTACGCATATTCACTTTTCTAGTTTTATTATTATTATTATTGTTATTATAAAAACACTGCTGATATGTTGAGCAGGTGTTTCTCAAGAAAAAGCTCTGCGGTTTGGTTGAAAAATTAATCTCTCCTAATGAGACTGGATAAGGAGATTGTCATGTGACAGGAGATACAGCCCCAGTGGGTTTTGCAAAGCAAACGCAGCAGGAGATGCATTTGCAAGACACAATGGGGCTGCCTCCATGCCACATGACGATTTCAACTAAATATTAAGCATGTTTGGAGATGGACAAAGCAAGTATACGTTCCATATAAGATAACATTATGAAAAAAAAAAGAATAAACAAATTGTCTCCTTGATATATGCACATTGACCACAAGGCACATGCAGATTTCAAAATTAAACTAACTAATTTGTCAATAAATCTACACATGCAATAAATTAAGGATTCTTAATCATGCTCGGGATTAGCTGGATTTGCCTTGTCATGGCGGAATCTCACCACAATGCATGTTATATTGTCCGCACTCCCACGGGTGAAAGCAGTTTCAGTCAACTTTCTAGCAGCTGTCTCTGGTTCTTCTTCTGCCCGAGCAAGTGAAACAGCATCCTGGAAACAATTTTGAACTTATAACAAGCAATTACACACAAAAGTATCCTAATAATACAGCAGGGATTTCCAATGTTCTTGTTACTCAAGCATTAGAAGATCAACCAATCTAATCTTATTGGAAAGCACTGTCACATCAGCAAGCTCGTATGAGCTAGTTTTGTCCCTTGTATTTTTGTTCCCTTTCACAAATTCAAGTGTCCTGAATAACAATTTTATTCTTAGTGTTAATATGTAATTTGACCCTTCAACTATCACTTTTTATGATTTGATATTCAACTTTCATTCTGTCATGTCATTAATCCTAGACATCAACTCTGTTAATAATATGCTAAGGTACAAGAAATTAATGAATAAAATCATGACACATGGCATATTTTCATTGGTCAATATCTGCACGTTGTTATTTTACCTAACACTGTTAGTTGATGGTGCAAAGTTCTTGTCGGAAGCAAAGTAAAGGTACCAAATCGTGAATTTTTTTTTATAAATACCAAATCATGAAAAATGATACAATCAAGGGGCCAATTTGTAAATTAATCCTCCATCGAACTTGCTCAAAAACAATATTGAATGCATTCCTGATACTTGGATGGATAATTAAGTGCAGCCATGCACTTGTAAATGCACGTGTCAGAGAGAGGTTTACCTCATTAGGCACTACATCCCATAATCCATCACTAGCAAGCACAAGCAACTCGATTTCTTCATCCATCTCTCTATCCTGAGAAATAACAAACATTAACACAGAAATTTCACTAATCCAATTTTCATGATCTACCACCCGGAAAACAAATGCTATATGGTATGACTTGTGTTGTGGAATAGGTTGTAGTCCAATCACCCTAGAGAACAGAAATCAAGGGACAGAATAGGATGCGGCAAGCAAAAATAGAATGCAAAGGTATTGGTGTTCACCATTGTATTCAAATTAAAAAACGAGCATGAGCACATTCTTACTTCAGTGACTAACTTAACACATCAGATTTTGAATTTTGGATGGTTGCAATCAATTAGGAATGGTGAAAATAAAAGGTTGTAATTTTCAATATCTTCTCATGAGATGATTTTTCCCTAAATGAGTCCAACTATTAAACACAAGACAATACCATGGGAGAAAGTAATCGCAAAATTAAATGTAATGAGAGCTATTAAGATGATTAAAGATTACTAGCTAGCTTATTAGTACATGGTTTTGAGTATCACCTGGATTTCCGGTTCTGCAACAACAAATTGCTTCAACATGCGATTACCGAAAGCTCGAGACATAGCTAACACACCTCCTACCCTCCAAGTTCCTGATAACATGATTAACAAGAAATTTTCACCATAAACTTTCAGGAGCCAGAATCTCTAATTTAAGTGCCAGATATAAAGGAAATATTTGTTTTAGTTTCAGTAAGACAAGCTAGATTTTTAAACAGTTTTACCTGCCCACATAACAACTCCTCCAGCATTTTCAATTCGCTTCCGTTCATCACTTCTATTTGGTTTATGATCTTCGGAGAGAGGGATTGCTTTAAAAGGAAAAAGAAGCTGCTTTTAAGAATCCCCATTTACAAATTCAGAATTATCAACATTCTTTTTAATGTCAAGTGCAGGATAATCTAATAAAGCCATATGTATCGTAATTAAGATACAGCAGTCACTCAAAATGTAAATGCATTTCATACTATATATAGTTCACAATTATTAGTCTTTACTAAACATGCCCATAAGTAAAAAATAAGTAGGTTAAGATTACCCACCCAGTATAAATACAAAATACCATGCTTTAACATGACTATTTGGCTATATAAAATAAACAAAGGATAGCATAAAGAAAAACTCAAATGCTTTCAGAATGGGCCCTGGCCTCCTCTTTACTGGCCCCTTTCCTCCAGCAAATTCATAGAAACATTTCATTATCATCTTCAAGTAATAGAATTTAAAGGCAAAATATGTTAACGCATATATTAATGCACAAGAAACCAATATATTAATATACAATAAAAATACATAGAATACCTTTTCCAGCCTTGGATATTATAGTCCTTGAGTCTCCAACATTGGCAACATATAAATGGTTACCAACCAACACTGCTGTTGAAGCGGTTGAACCATCATCTCGATAAGTATCTCTTTCAGAATCCAAGAAATCTACATCAGTCTGTTGATATGTTTTACCTGCAGGCATGTCCATGAAACAAATATGAATAACAGAGAATTCAAATAGGTTGATAATCATTTTATTGTACGAAGACAAACCCATCTGAATGCAAATTACAGGCTCATGACAAGAAAGAGACACAAGTACTTGTAAATGCATGGATCCTCTATAAAGTGCTGACAATAAAGGATATGCAACAATTTAAATGCTCTATCAGCACAGTAAATCAGAGATCTTAAACGCACTTATGGCAAGTTTGGTGTCCGTCATGAACTGTGGATGCTTCATTAGATTATCAAAAAGGTGTTGCTTCAAATACTCAGCAGCATGTGAACCACCATGCCCTGCAATTGCACATAATAGTGTTTAAAAGGTGGGGAAATGAAAACTGTCCATTCAGATATCAAAGATATCGTGCCTTGAGAAAAGTTACTTATCATTCAAAAGCGCATCTCCAAGATGACTGATAGTATAAATAGGTTGAAACAGAAATCATTCATCAAGAGACACATTTGGATATAAAACGAAAATAATACAGATTGATTGTCACAATCTCATAATGATTTCGACTTTGATTTGAATGAAATCACAAGAAAGCTTTGACAGACATAATTTCAAAGTTGGTCTATCTTTGACCCAGGCAACTTTGGATGCTTGTGCCACTAATTAGTTGTAAGAATGTCCGAATACACTGCCCCAAGGTTATTACACATGTCAGATAGCTCGCACGCAGGCTATAAACCACATACATATCATACCAACAATAAAACTTATAATTTTTAGTATTGCTTTGCACCATCAATGCTATGGTTGTGAAAACCATATCCAGCGGAAAGACTAGCCCCACATAGCACACTGTGCTCTTCTCCAACCATCATGTTTAGTGCCTTCCAAGTGTTTTTACTTAATTTGTTCCTAGTTTTTTTACATAATTTGTTCTAGCATATACGTAATATTTTTAATTTCATATCCTTCCACAAGGCAATAGATGATAAGAGAGAACCTAACCATCAAAGATTCCAAACATGCACACTGTCTGCCCCCTAATCTTGGAAGTTTTAATATCATAAAAATCTTCCATGGTTGCTCGCTTTCCCCTGAAACTTGAATATCCACAGCTTAATTTTCCATCTTCACTGCCAAATCAGACAAGAAACCTACCATGTAAGTGCAGTTTCAAATCTAAAGTTAGTTAATAGCATCATATACACAAGTAACAAGATTAAAGAGCCATTCATGTGCAATAGCTTCTACCTTCTAGACGAAAGAAGGAAAGGAATGACGATTGCTGGAAAAATGTACAAATTCAAGTGAAATCCATGTTTTCTATAAAAAAAAAATTTGAAGAATATTTACGAGTGCAGTGATTTTGGAAAGTGAAAGAAATGCCAGAGCATACAATTGATATTAACAATTATATTACAAATGTTGCAGCTAGGAAGCTATTCTTTCTTCGTTTCCTCCAATAATCGATGAACCAAGTAGGAAAGCAAAGACAAACAGATCAAAAGAAATTTACTAAAAACTCCTTTTTCAATAATTCCACTTTGAAACCATGTGCACTTTTTTGAGACGGTTAGGATTTACAATATCAACACCTGTAAAGTTGACATCATTAAATTTCTTAGAGTAAATAAATAATCAGTGGCTTACAGTATCAACATATCATCTAGCTTTTCTTGATTAGGTGACACGTTCATTGAACCAAACATGCAAAGAAAAGATCAAATCTGACTAAACAATTAAAAAACCAGTATACAAGAAACTCTTAGCAACATTTATTCAGCACCAAATCATATTTAAAAAGTTAAGGGAAAGCAATATGCATGTTTGGTTCTAAACAAATCATGACATGTTGTGAAAACTCGCTATACTTGTAGCTTAATGTGCATGATAAATTAAACAACTAATCTAAAACAGGTGGAAAACTAAAATTTACCTTTTCCACCCTCCGCTTACATATCCACCATCCTCATCTTTTTCCCGAAACATATCAACAATGGGACGTTGCTTCGCTGTTGCACTTGAATCAACCATCATCCTTGCACTCGTTTGAAATTCACTATTCAACCAAAAGTTTAATCCACCAAAGACATATAAAGTCCTTCCAATACTCCTTAAATGCACCCTTTTTGGGTTAATATTGTTCCTATACACCCAGTCTGAAAAATTACACTCCTTAAACAACTGTTGCATACCATCTAAAATGGTCCACTTATGGCCTTTTAATGCCAGATCTTCAAACTCACGAACAATGCTGCATTACAAAATCATTAACATAACAAAATTAAAAATATCCAAAGTGCTTTAACTCCAACATGTAATTTAAATGTATAATATAATTATCCCTCCCTCTAAACAATTCTTAAATGACCACTAAATCAAATAATACACGATTAACTCTAGTAACTAGCATAGGATCGATAGCTTCCGACAAAAATGAATTATTACACATTAAATTTGAATATACTAGATGCATTTAATGAACTTTTTTTTATTGGTAAAAATGAGCATCATTAAGCTAAGCTTTCCACTTATAGTTGTAAGTTTGATCAAAATAAGAAGAAGAAAAAGTAAAATACGAATCAAAATCTTACATTTACGTTTCAAAATAATCGACTCATTTCCTGAGCTGATAAATCATGCAACAAAGAGTGAATAAAAAAGCAGCATTTTCGATCAAATTAAAACGTAACTATACAAACAATAACGGATCTCTCGTTGAAAATTTCGGATAAAACAACCGGATCGGATCGGGGGAACCAGACAGAAAGGATCAACGTTGGGTTGGAACACGTTGAGGATCCGAATCTGAAATGGAGGTCAGTAGGAATCGGTCGCGTAGCGTAGCTTTTCTCTCTCTCAAGAAAAAGAGGAAAAAAAAAAACAAGGAGAATCTGAAACCCTAAGGAGAGAAAGGGGATGGAAAAAGAGAAAAGATTTTGAGGAAATTTGTAGAGATATATAGTGGGAGCGTGAGAGAGAAAAGGAAAGAGAGAGTGCGGAGTGGAATGGAGAGAGAGAGATCTGGCCATTTTTGTAGCTGGCCACCCAAGAGAAGTGGCAACGTGGCAACTCTTCATGCATCCACTTTTATTTTGGGAGCTTGATCTTCTGCGCTCGTGCTCATGATTTACATTCTAATTTCTAAAATATATGATAATTTAGGTTTAGTTTGATTGAAAATTTGATTACTATTTATATGCCATTATGTATTTACATTTGATGCATATAAATATTATAAATTATCAAATCACATAAATTAAATTTTATTAAAAAAATAATTTTAAGTGTTTTATTAAAATTAAGTATATTTATTTTTAAAGTTTTAAATTTTAAAATTAATTTCTTTTAAAAATGCTATTACACGACTCGTTGACATTATATAGCATTGTTATAAGGTGTATAAAATTTTATTTTTTTATTTTTTATAAAATAAAAAGAGTTAAAAATGCATATATCAATATGAAAGTAAACTTATAAAAAATACACATAAATTTAAAAATACATAATTATAATATAATTTATTTAAACAATAAAATACATATTTTATTTAATATAAATTAATTATATTATAATATATTGTAACTACTTTTCATGTTTAATTAATTATTGTAATTTTCTTCTCAACAAAAATATTGTGATTTTTATCTATCAAAATAATCGTTAAAATAATAAAAAAATCTGAAATTTTATCACTTTATTTAAATAAATCATTATATTTTTTACACCTAAATAAATTTTTTATTTTTAATTTGCATCAAAATAAACTTTTCTCTTTTAATTTTTATTTAAATAAATCTTTAAACTTTAATTTGTATTTAAATAAATTCGTATATAAATTAATCTTTTATTAAACTAATAGTTTATATGAATATAAATAAAAAATTAAGATTTTATTTAGACACAATAAATATATATGGATTTATTCAAATAAAGTTGAATAAATCAAAGTTTTTTTTAATATTTTAGTCAAAAATATTATTGTGATTTTTAAATATATAAACATTTAACTTAATAATTAGTATATGTATCCTATTTAAAAATAAAATTTGATTTTTTTAATTAAAAATAAATATTCTAATTTTATATTTTATTTTTATTTTAATTCAAAATAAAAAAAATACATATCAATAAAATTGAACTAAATTATTTCATAAATGTACAAAATATGAGAAGCTTTTTTCCATTTTGTGAACTTTTTAAACTAACAACCCTTTAAACTTTCAAGGGTATTGTATATTTTACTAGTTACCATTACAAGTAATGCAAATAAATAATCCACGTAGCATTTTGATTTTGGAAAATACCAAAAACATTTTTCAAAATAAATAGGAGGCATACCAAAATATCAGCTAAAGCTGTGGACTGCAGACCATAGAAGAAACGAGCATTGCGGTGGTAACGGGGACCCGTTTGAGGGCAGAGATTCCCGTTTGCAAGGTCACCGACTCAAATTTTGAGCTTTACCATGCCGCATGGATATTTGCTAATATAATAATACAACCGGCTACTTGACGCGATGAGCTAACAGTGGTCCAGATACGAGGTTCCATACAAGCCCAAACAAAAAGAAACATAAATGATGATAAATCTTTAGACATCACATTATGGAATAATAGAGGTAAGTGGATTAGGTAATTTTGGTATTTTTATTTTATTTATTTTGTATTATATATATAAAATATAAAAGTTATTATTATAAATCGTATTAATATAATAAATATATAATATATTTTTATTTATTAAAATTATATATAATTTTTATTAAAATTTTAAATGACACAATCTTTATATTTGTTTTAAATTTTATATTCTAAAATATAATATAAAAATAATATGATTTAAAATTTTAACAATAATTGTATAAAGATTTGATAAATAAAAAATATGTCTTATATTTTATATCAATATAAATTATGATAAATAATTTTTATATAAAAATTATAAAAATAAATGAATTATTGATATTTTATATAACATAAAAATATAAATTATTATTTTATACTTTTTTATTGCATTTAAAATTGACAGGAGGGAATAGGGCGAGTTTACTTGGAGAATTTATTTAGGGTATGGAGTGATTTGGCCCATAACCTATATATGGAATTTGGGTTTTGGGCAGATAAAATTTTGATTGAGGCTCCTAAGATTTTAGGCTGGTGCCAACTCAATCCGAACCGAAATAGGTTGTATTCCATTTCAGGCATGGGACCCCTAAAGTCTAGACTCTCACTTTCTCTGACCAAGCCTGGTTCATCAGTTCATCGTCTATAAAATGACCAATCTGTTATATCTTACACCAACGTATTAGGCCAGGCATGTTTTGTTGTGGTTTGTTCATTAAACTCAGAATTTAAGAAAGTGGTTGGCTAGAGTTTGCCAGTTCAAAAAAAAAAAAGGTTCTAAACAACTTACAGTTGTCCATGTTGAATATCGAGTGGTGGTAAGGTCATTTAGAATTTAACTGAAAATTTCTTAAAATGTTAAAATGCAGTTGATGAGGTGAAAACATATAGTATTTTAAATGCATGATCAGGATTACTTATATTTCAAAATTAATTGAATTAATTAATTGAACTAATTTGTCTTTAATTAATCAATATTGAATTAATTTTAATTAATTATTAAAAATAATTTTAAAAAGTTTTAAATTTTGATTATTTTAATTAATCACTAAATTAATTTAACTCTTAATCGAAATATGAAAAACTCGAAAATAAAATACATAAAATAGACTATTTAATTTTACAAGTTATTGGAAATTTTAATTTTAAAATTTTAATATCTGAATATTTTATTCGATAATTTTATTTAAGTTATTTTAAATATAAAAATTTAAAACCTTTATAATATATAATTTAAAATTAATATATTTTATTATTTGATTAATGTAAAAAATAATTTGAATCAACATCAATGAAGTTGGTTGAAAGAACATCTTGTGCATGATGGAAATTGACTACTTAATGTTCGAAACGATTGCCAAGACCATAATTTATTATAGATAATTTCGTCTGTTAAGGAGTCAGCAAAAGACGGAAGATGTGAAAAGTAAGACAAAACTTATATCCTATTCATTACTCAACATCCATTGTCTAAGGTCAATCGTGTTGTCTAAATTTCCAAGAAGCAAATAAGGTCAAGGATATGCCTGACTTTTTGTCTTAGCCCAACTCAAAGTCTCAAACTATTTGGTTCTGCCACTGCCCTGGGCATGCTCCTCATTATTAAGGTTTAGTTGTTTTTATCTTTTGCTATTTATCTTTAATTTTTATTTAATTATTTATTTATTTTTACAAAAAATAAAAACATCTATCAAACCTGTCCTAAGCAACCTAAACTCTCTAAAGCTTCGGTCACGATTGTGTTTAGCTATCAAACCGTTGCTTTTGCCAACGAATGCAACCCCAATCGCATTTTGAGAGGTGTTGTTGTGGTTGATAATTAATGGTATAACTGTAAAGTTACTAAATATTTATTAAATAATTTATAAATTATAAAATTATATGTATTTGTAGGATATTCATATTTATATTATGTGTATAAATATTTATATAATTTATTAAATAATTCTATACATTTTATTCTCTCACATTAACTTTTTACAATAATATCAAATACTCAAAAATCTTAAACAATAATTTCCCCTAAAAATTTTTAAATATACTTTTCTAATTTAATTTTTTTTCCAACCATACCAATAATTCTAAATTGGCCTAAGTGAGCAAAAGTCATCCGTGATCAGTGTCGAGAGCCGTTCAATCTCTGCCACTCAGTTTGACTTCTGTAAAATATACTCTATACTGTTGGCGCATAAACGGCCTGCCACGAGAACAAAAAACTGATCCGTTTCATGCCACGAGAATACGGTTCATTTTAATTTAATCTATACATTTCCCAATCATAGCTCGCCACATCACCAAATTAACATCATAAAACGTACCACGAGGACACCTGTGACTGCGAGGGTGGAATCATCTTTTCAACCGTGGACTGGAACAGTGGAGTCAACCTGGGTACGGAAGAAACTGGACAAGAGCGAACCGCAGAGACAGACGCACGAAAAAGTTACCGTCGAAAGCTTTTTCCAGTGGGACCCCCAGTCACAGGAATTCTTGCTTCCGTACAGCACGCCCTTTATCTTCGTCACCTTGGTCTTTTGTCTTTAATTTGTTAAAAGGAAAAACCCCACTCTGACCCAGCCCTACCCTTGACATTTCCAGGAAATTTCTATCCCCTTAACTCCCTCACTACGAAGAAGAAGAAAAAAGGAAGGAAATTTTGAATTCGGTAATAATTCATTTCCAACCTGTTTGTTTGTTTGTTTGTTTGTTTTCTCCACTGAGATTTCTTTCTTTGTATGTTTCCTCCTTCCTTCTCTCCATTTTTTTACTGGTTTTATGTTTTATTCATCAATTTTTTAGAGGAATGTTTTGAATTTAAAATTTCCCGAGAATTCAGGGCTACTTATTTTCGAAAACATGATTAAATATTTTGATCTTTGACTTGAAGAAACTGAAACAGAAGTCGCTTGCTTGCTTGTGTGTTCTTTATTTATTTATATAGATATAGTTTCTAAATTTTGGTTTTAATAATCAATTATATCTCATTCAAGAGTTCTTCCAATTTCATGCGTAGATATCAGTGTTAACTACGGTATTGCTTTTTCCAGATATTTTTGGTGTTTGGCCAATTAGAGTCAGTGACTTATCCGCGGCTTTTTGAGCCCGGTATCACTTTGTTTTTTTTTTCCACAAAGTTCTTTTCTTTTCTTCTCTTCTTTTTCCAGTAATTATTAATCGACGTTTTGTTGATTATTGTACATGTCAAGGGAGAGTAATTTAATAAATTCTTGTTTCAGGATTGTAACTGATTGGATGTAACTAATTTGATGTCTGGTTTCCTGCTGTCTTTAATGTCTGTGGTTTTGATGTCTTTAACGTTTGTGCAATAGTATATACTTTTACCTTTGTGCTCGTTTCTAGTTGCGTCCGGCCTGCAATTGAGATCAGAATGTTCTAACTTGGTGTTTCATATATTTTCTTCCCCTTTTAGGGTTTGGCACTAAGATTTTTTCTGTACATGAAGAAATTCCTTAAATATCTTTGTGTTTCAGAGCTGATTCTTCTTCTTTTAGAGGTGGGATCATAAGGAAAGCTACAGTTATGAATTATCCACCAGAGAAGTTTGTGAGGTTAGTACATCCTTAAATATCGTCCATTGATTGTGTTACTTGAAATTATGGTTGTGTCTTTCTATTGGATTCTGTGCTTCATTTTAGGTCTTAGATGTGCTTTTTTTTTTCAGAAAGCCACTAAGATAATACTAGATATGCGATTTTGAAAGCAAAATCATCAGCTCTGTCTGTCATTGTCCACCTTTGCATTACCCAATGATGCTATCACAACTGATACTTATCGCCTGTAGTCAATGTCTTTGATGCTGCTGTCAACTGCCTATGTTGTCATACATAACAAATAAAATTGTCACCACCACTTCTTTTTTGAGTGAGCTTACCCTTCATCTACTGCTCCCATAACTATTAATGCCTCATTTCTCACACAACAGCAATTATATATTGTACCTGAAAATGTTACATATTGTATTATTAGTAGGGGTTTGATTTTCTCTTAAAACTTAAACTTTTTTTTTTGGTACTTAAAATAGACTGATTTTCTTCAATCAAATTCTATCTTCCAGGTTCCAAGACTGGAATTCAGAGAAAAGCGCTGAAGGACATTATTCTGATAATAATGGGACAAATTCGGGGAAAATTAGATTCGCAATAAATTCATTTTCACAAAAGTTTCAAAGAAGGGTTGAATCTGGTTCGGAGAGGATTAAAGGGCTTAGAAAGTCATTTAAATCTTGTTCATTTAACCATGTTGTTGCTAAAGGCTTTGGTTCTAGTAAGAAAGTTCTTGATCCCCAGGGGTCGTTCCTTCAAAGGTGGAACAAAATATTTGTATTGTCATGCATAATAGCAGTCTCAATTGATCCTTTGTTCTTTTACGTCCCAGTGATTAATGATGATAAGAAGTGCCTTGCTTTGGATGAAAAGATGGAGGCCACAGCCAGTGTGCTGCGTTCGTTCACAGATATCTTTTATATAATCCATATTATTTTTCAGTTTCGTACTGGGTTCATTGCACCTTCTTCTCGCGTATTTGGAAGAGGTGTTTTAGTTGAAGATTCGTGGGCAATAGCAAAGAGGTATCTGCAATCATACTTTTTAATCGACGTTCTAGCAGTTCTTCCCCTCCCTCAGGTAAAAAAACCTTATAGGCCTCTGACAATGTTCTTTCTCTTGTATTTACCTGGTTGATGTGTGACAGGTAATACTCTATTAATAGACTTTAAAAGTTAAAATGAAATGAATGTTTGAATCTTGGGTGAGCAGGAACTTCATTCCCATTGTGCACTTTCCATTGGCAATAGTATTGAGAAATTCTGTTGCAACTTGAGAGTTGTTGAACCATTCTATAATTTGCTGTACCAAGAGTGAGTTATCAGGTTGTTCAAAGGATAACTTTAATTGCTCTAACTATGCTTTGCATCTTTAATGGAAATCCAATGTTTTATTAGAGTCCATTGTTGTAGGAACTCCCTTGTTTCCATGTACTTATGCCTGTAGTCCTGACTCCTGTATTATTATGTGCAATATTTTGTTAAAGTCATAAATTCATGATCGTTTAATTTGATACTATTAGCTTGGTCTTTTAACTTTCTGTTCTTTTTCCAGGTGGTGATTTTAATTATCATACCACAAATGAGAGGTTCAAAGTCTTTGAATACAAAGAACTTGTTGAAATTTGTTGTTCTCTTCCAATATCTGCCAAGGGTTTTTCGAATATATCCACTATATAAGGAAGTTACAAGGACTTCGGGCATACTAACTGAAACTGCATGGGCTGGAGCTGCGTTCAATCTCTTTCTTTACATGCTAGCAAGCCATGTAAGTTTGCTAGATTGGTAGTAGGGTAATTTTAACAATAAGCATGTATCTTTTGTTATATTTGCTTTTGTGGATGTGCCTTTTGTGTTTGGTTTTGGCCCTTGAGTGGTTTATTGCTTGTAGGACTTGAGACATTTCAAAATTGAAACACCATAACGAGAGGCAAAAGCTAAAAAAATCTAACCATATGGATTCAAGCATGTGGATGAAAGATGTTTTAATGTCTTCTGAAGTCAATACATCCTAATTTTATGCTTATATTTCCAGTAAGCAAACAGGTGAAACATATCGTTTAAGATAGAGATTGAAGCTGGAGTATGGTAATTTGAATAGCCATAACCAGTTTTGGATTAAGGTTTGATTGAAATTGGTGGAAGAGTTCGGCATAAATTGTGAAATATGAAATGTTACTCAATATAACGCCAGAGCAAGTACATGTTTAATGAATAGGCATGAATAGTTACTCTAATCACCGTTAGCAGGTTGTGGATTGTTTTCAATTTTCATCTCTTTAATGTTCAGCTCTTGTCCCTTTGATCTTCACAATAAAATCAGTGTCTAAATTTCGTCAAAAAGTTGAACCTGTTGTTAATACTGGTGTATTGAAATTAGCAATCCCTGCGGAATATATATATATATATATATAAATATATTATTCTTTTGTTTCTTCCTGTCTAATGTATTTATATATAAAGCTGATTACTTCTATTTTACAAAACCTGACTTGTAAATCAAGGCCTTAAGTATGCTGATTTGTACTTTTGAACTAACAATGGGTAAAATGTTGTCTGGGTGTTGTTATCTTAGTTGCATGGGTTAAAACTTTTTAATGGTATGAAATCTAGTTAACTGCATATGTATAAGCCTGGAGTTGTTACATTTCCTCTTTATAATATATCTCTTATTATGACTTGAAGCCTAATTCATTCTTCTGCCACGTTTTCTAATGGTAATATATTATTCTTTTGTTTCTTCCTGTCTAATATATTTATATATAAAGCTGATTACTTCTATTTTACAAAACCTGACATGTAAATCAAGGCCTTAAGAATAATATGTTATTCTTTTGTTTCTTCTTTATAATATATCTCTTATTATGACTTGAAGCCTAATTCATTCTTCTGCCACGTTTTCTAATGGTAATATATTATTCTTTTGTTTCTTCCTGTCTAATATATTTATATATAAAGCTGATTACTTCTATTTTACAAAACCTGACATGTAAATCAAGGCCTTAAGAATAATATGTTATTCTTTTGTTTCTTCCTGTCTAATATGTTTATATATAAAGCTGATTACTTCTATTTTACAAAACCTGACTTATAAATCTAGGCCTTAAGCATGCTGATTTGTACTTTTGAACTAACAATGGGTAAAATGTTGTCTGGGTGTTGTTATCTTAGTTGCATGGGTTAAAACTTTTTAATGGTATGAAATCTAGTTAACTGCATATGTATAAGCCTGGAGCTGTTATATTTCCTCTTTATAATATATCTCTTATTATGACTTGAAGCCTAATTCATTCTTCTGCCACGTTTTCTAATGGTAAATTGACTAGCTTTTCTTGTAGGTTTTTGGAGCTTCTTGGTACTTATTTTCCATTGAAAGGGAATACACATGCTGGAAAGATGCCTGTAGGAAGAACACTGGATGCACCTCCCCTTCTTTTTATTGTGATGGTGGTTCTTCTTTTAGTACGTTGCTAAATCAATCATGCCCTATACAAACACCCAACACAACACTTTTCAATTTTGGAATATTCCTTTATGCCCTCCAATCTGGTGTTGTGGAGTCGAAAGATTTTCCAGAGAAATTTTTTTACTGTTTTTGGTGGGGCCTGCAAAACCTAAGGTGTGCTCAATTAAGATGCTTTTCATTTATTTTCCTTTTTCCAATCAAGTGTTCAGTAGTCATTGCTTGTTTCCATTTACTAGATGGGCTGTATTTCAGCTATTTTGGCTAAAATTTTGACAACTGGTTACTTGCATTCCATCTCTAGTATGCTTGTTGGCATACCACTTTGTGAGTTCTTTATAACTAATTGAAGTATTTGACAAATTTCCATTATAATAATATTATATAGAAACGTTATTTGTTTTGTCTTTTTTATCATATTCATATTGGATCGAGAAAATTTACGAATCTAATTAAATAAAACTTTTACCAGCAAATATTTACTCTTTCAACATTATTCTTCCGGTAACTATTTCAGTTGTTTGGTTAACTAATAACCTCTCAGAATGATAAAAAGAATAAATGAAGTGATCTCTCATTTTATCATATTGTCTTTGCTGGAGGGGCTGGGTTGCAAAAATATGCATGCAGTCTACATAGAACATATAATGTGATAAACCCCCCTTATTAGATATATGTGATGATCATTGGGAAAAGTTGGGGTGTAAGCATCTCTCCTTTTTAATAAATATATTCATCATTTTTTTTTCTTCTCTTTCTCTTGAGGTAGGTGGGAAACGATGTTAGGATTAGTGACGAGGGTTGATGTGGTGATGAAATTGAGATTGATCAATGACAGAGCAGCATGCTTCATTAATTCTTGTGGTGCTTTAAAAAATTGTGGTTAAATGGGTCGTAAGAGGTCACTGCTGAGTGGTCTTAATTATGGTTTTATTATTTAGGCTTGTTGAGTCTACATCCATCTTCAGTCCAACTGGGATTATTCAAATTTTGTTGTATATTCATTGTCTTCCCTTTTCCTTGTTTAAAACAGGTTCTTGTTTTTTCTCTCTCTTCCTTGTTATTAGTACATTGCCATTAAGTTCTGACAGTAGTGTTTGATATCTGTTTGCTTCTCCTTTTTGCAGTTCTCTGGGTCAGAACCTTAAAACTAGTACCTATGTCTTGGAAATCTGCTTTGCAGTTTTCATTTCAATCTCGGGCTTGGTTCTTTTTTCATTACTCATTGGAAATATGCAGGTTGGTACCAGGCATCTGTATTCTTTGAATTTATATGTCCAGCTGTTTGTTTTGTAGCAGTGCAACTGTTTTCTAATTTCTAGTAGGACAACATTTTTTGGTATCATTAATTCTTTGTACTCTGAAAGCTTTTCTAAAAAATTAGTTTCTATCATTATGATTTTTTAAAATCTTCTGCATAAGATGCACTCCTAAGAAGCACAAGTAATCTGTTTACAATGGTTGAAGCTTTTTGGTTGACTTCTGGTTTTATAATGTCCAAGTATTTTGCTTCTTTCTGTCGCTCACTGTCCTAAGTACAATGTGCATTGGGGGCAACAAATAGGAAACACCTGGCTTAGGCTGTTACCCGTGCAACTTCAGGATTCCTAGTTATGTCTTACATAAGGACCATAAATTATAGGTTATGACGAGTCAAATTTGTTGTGAAACAGACATATTTGCAGTCCACGACTACCAGATTGGAGGAGATGAGAGTGAAAAGACGTGATGCAGAACAATGGATGTCCCACCGCTTATTACCAGAGAATCTGAGGGAGCGGATCAGACGATACGAGCAGTATAAGTGGCAAGAAACTAGAGGAGTTGATGAAGAGAATTTACTTTGTAATCTACCCAAGGACCTTAGAAGGGATATAAAGCGCCATCTTTGCTTGGCTCTGCTCATGAGAGTGAGTGCCTCGACCTTCTGATCATTGTTTTAATTGGATTGCATCCTTTTCGGGATTAAGATTGGTACATGTTATTATTTAACTTGCATTTTCGCCGCCAATCACTAATCTTAAAGGTTATCTCACTCATTTCCTTTGATGTTTAAGGTGCCAATGTTTGAAAAAATGGATGAACAATTATTGGATGCAATGTGTGACCGACTCAAGCCGGTTCTCTACACAGAGGAGAGCTACATTGTTCGGGAGGGAGACCCGGTTGATGAGATGCTCTTCATCATGCGCGGCAAACTGTTGACTATGACAACAAATGGTGGAAGAACTGGCTTCTTTAATTCTGAATATCTAGGGGCAGGAGACTTCTGTGGAGAGGAACTTCTCACATGGGCACTAGATCCCCATTCTTCGTCAAACCTCCCTATATCTACTAGAACTGTCCGAGCCCTTACTGAAGTTGAAGCTTTTGCTCTGATGTCTGATGACTTGAAGTTTGTTGCCTCTCAGTTCCGCCGGCTTCATAGTAAGCAGCTGCGCCACACTTTTAGGTTCTATTCACAGCAGTGGAGGACTTGGGCAGCTTGTTTCATACAAGCTGCTTGGCGCCGCTACAGCAAAAAGAAACTGGAAGAATCGCTTAGAGAAGAGGAGACTAGATTGCAAGATGCTTTAGCCAATGCTGGTGGGAGTTCACCAAGTTTGGGTGCCGCTATTTATGCCTCACGGTTTGCTGCCAATGCACTTCGTGCTTTGCGCCGAAACCGTAGTCGTAAAGCAAGAGTGCCAGAGAGGGTACCACCTATTTTGCTTCAGAAGCCAGCAGAGCCAGATTTTACAGCTGAAGAACAATAAGCACAGGTACTTTTTTTTTTTCTCTTTTATATTTTATTTTGGATAACTTTATGCCTTGTTGGCATTATGTAAAAGATTGTCTTTGGAACAGATTAGGAAATCTCGTCCCTCCACAAAACACGAAAAGTATGTTGGTAGAAAGCTGCCATTTGTTGAGTTTTGAGGTATGTATGCCATGTATATGTAAATCTTCAATTTTTCTTCGTTTTGTTGTTCTGTTTTCATCCACTACCAATTTGTTTTAGTGCAGTTTTTATGTAGTATATATATTTGAAACAGTAAGTGTAACAAATTCAAAAGTTCTGCAAAAGGATACTGCATGGTAAAATGGAGAACAAAGTCTTGCAGAGTAATATAAGGTTGAAATAACTGCTTCGATTTCACTTTTATTACTTTTTTTGTTCTTTTGGTTTTAAATTTCTACCGTAGTATATACCATAGTCCAGAGAAATAGCTAACGCATTCGTCGTGACGAAGTATGGATCGCATCTCTAAAAGACCCTCCATTATTTGATTGTGATGTTGGAGGCATCTTTTCCTCCATTATTTACTGTCTATTTCCCAAATAGGAGTACGTCAGCTTTTATGAAAAGTTAAAAAATAACGATTGGAATTGCTACATATATGCTTAGGAGACAGAGTCATACAGGTTACTCGTGCTGGATTGCAGGGTCACGAAGCAGCCTGACCTCCCCCTTAATTACCTGCAATGCGAAAAAAGCCATGTGCATCTGTCAGTAAAACTAAAAAATTTTGATTTCTACCAGGAGAATTCGTAAGACTACCACAATACTAATAATATGCATCTTGTTTGATTTCATTTTGCCATCCGTAACTACAGAACAAGTCATCTGCATTTGTAGAGACATGTTCTCATATTACAAATTATCTTTACTTCTGTTCTGATATATTGCTAATTCCAAGAGATTGAAATATTAAGTTCTCAAATCAGGGGAGGCTAAATGAAAAAGACAATATATGAAGTGTCATTAAAAGACACCCGCTCTAAACCAGCGGAAATAGGATGGTTCGAGGTCCACAGTAGTTAGAGAAAGAAACTATAGTAAAAAAGATGCGACCTGCAGCTTCGGTCACAGAGAAAGCAATCATTCCAAGATCTTATTTCTTCAAAAATTGAAACAATGCCCCATCACCCTTAGGTCCCCGCTTTATTGCGGTTTAAAAGTATGTACTGTATCTCATAGCAAAAGTAAGTAGTAAGTACTAGCAGCGGATCGAAATTGATTTTTTTTTAAATGATATAATATTATGAATTTTTAAAATTTGATCTAAATTCAAATTAAAATTTTAAAATTAATTTGATTTGAATTGAATTTAATGGATTTGGTTTGATTTATTAATTTATTAATTTTAATTTTTTTATAAATTATTTTTAAAATATTTTAAAAATATTTAAATAGATTTATATATAAAATAATTATGTTTATTTTATAAAATTTTTTAAAAATATATAATTTAATAAAAACATATAATTTGGTTTGATTTAATTTTTTTTAATTTTTAATATTTTGATATAAAATTTGATCTGAATATTTATTTAATATTTAAATTTAATCCGAATATAATAATAAAAAAATCAATCTAAATCAAATAAAAATTATAATTTCAAATTAATTTTTCATTTTCTTAATTTTTTTTTCTTATCCTGCTAAGGAACCCTGCTGAAATGAATGAAAACTGATCTTGAAGACAGGAGCTCTCACCTCAAAGTTGCAAAATCAAAGTCCTCTCTTACGATGGTAAGCTCAGTCTAGTTTCTCTATAGGCTTTATGGGATTCACAAAATCAAGGGGTGGCCCCTCTGTGGACCATATCAGAAAACCATTCACACCACTACATTCGAAAAGAAAAGAAAAGGCAAAAGGTCAAAAAAAAAAACAGACAAATCAGAAGTCAGAAATTAGATAGGCTTGATGATTCTGAATATGCTGCTGCAATTGGTAATTGACAACAGATAAAATTTCCCCTAACAATTTATCTGATTTTTGTTCATTACAATTTACTTTACTCCACTTTACTGTCACTATTAATTTTGCTATCTAAACATATGATACAAGTAATTTTAATCTTATTTATATCAATCAATTTCATTATTTCAATAATTAATCTTACATCAATTATTTTTTTAATTTCATCAATCTAATCTCGTTACCAATTTAAATCAATCTTAAAATTAAATATATGAAACGTAATGCATTGAATTGTTGGATTGTCAAATAATAGTTAATGCTATGATGTTTAAAAAAATAAAATAAAATCGCATTACATCTTGTAATCTAACAAATTAGGACGATAAATAGAGAAATGGAAAATGATTAGTTATTTTCCCTAATAATGAACAGAACGACTACATATTCTTGATGTAAGCAACTATGATAATAATTGATTTTAAAATACTTATTGTGTCATAAGAACTAAGAATTGGGATTTTCAATTTTAAAAAAAAAAAAAACTAAAATTTTCAAATTTATAAAAAGGGAAGAGAACCATTTCTACCCGAAGTTCTTCCAAGGAGGCAACATAGGAATGAAAATGGATTAATTGAAGTAAATCATGTAAATAAGTTTTTCTTTAAATTTTTTAGTACCATTAAAGCTTTAATGCAGATATTTTATATAACAACAGAAATGTTTAGGGGAATGGTGTTCATGTAAAAGCACCATAGACAAATGAATCAAATGTTATATTATGATAACTAATCTAATTCAAGTCTCCGACCAACCACTTCATTTTCCTCCAGTTTAATTTGGATGGATCTTCTAGCTTGACCCGCAACTCAAACGAAAGCCTTGGTTGGTACTTCCAGAAATTGAAAATCTTGTTCTCTCAGTTGCTTTTGAGAGTGATCTTAAAGAGAAAAAAAAGAAGCGCTAGATTTTCTTTCTTAACTGCACCACTACCACACTAATGTTGTCTTTGCTACCCCGAGCTATTGCAAGCTCAACCAACACAGCTGCTGCTTCGGCAGCCAGGCTTTCATCGACAACATTCTCAAGGGATTTCCTCTTTATTTGGCCGTTCAGACATCTCCTCACCACTCGACATGCTACTTCATTCGATATGACATCCCACAGGCCATCACTAGCTAGTATGAGGAATTCATCACCATCGGTTAGCTCTCTTACTGTTACTTCTGGCTTCCATGTAACAAATGGTTTAAGGTATTGATCGCCTACATTCAAATTTCACTCTCCAGTTAGAAAAATGGCATCCTTAAAATATAAAACTGATAAATCCTTCAATTATATATTAAGCTGGTGATAATACAGCAGAAGCTTTCTTACATACCTATGGACCTTGAGGTGGCAAGTACTCCTTGCACACGATGTCCATTCCAGTTTATGACCCTTCCACCAGCGGCTTCAATTCTCTCCAACTCATCTGGTCTGTCAGGCTTTGCACAAAGAACGTGTCAATATATTGATTCTTGCTGCTGAACTATAACATACTTTCATCCCACTTTTCTTGAAGATTAAAAGAAAGATGGAAAAAATATTTGGCAGCCTTCTTATTGGTTGTTAACAAAATTAACAACTGAATGATATAAAGGTCCAAAATTGAAATTGTTAATTAGGGACAACATACAAATAATTAATTTTCATTTTGACCCTTTTATATGTATATATATATTTTTTTACAAAGGAGGCATAAGGGATTGTAGGGGGTAGGGTTTAAATCTCCTTGTAGGTATGGAGATTTAAATCTCAGATCTATTGAATGTCAATTTAAAAAAATGACTGCAATAACCTGAACTAAGTTTCGAGTCGCTTTCATATTGCTTTCATCTAAAAAATTATCGATTTAACATAAATATGCTGTTTAATATAACCACTTCTATCTCTAAGATTTACTTTTTGTATTGCCTCTTATACGTACAGTCAATCCAACTTTGATATAGATCCTCTTGCTAACCACTACAAAGTTGGCGATTTTAAACCTCTTATTGCCGACTAGACATATTGTTCGAGGAATAAAAGAAAAACTTCAGTCTAGCATGGGGGTAACCCAAACATTTCCAACTAAAGGAGAAAACCAGAACAAAAACTGTTCATGGCAAATTTTTAATCAATATCAGCAAGTATAAATGGGGTAAGAAATTGAGGACATTAACCCCTTCCCTCCCCTAGTGTAAAATCCAATTTTCAGATAGGAAGCAAGGCTCTTCTAGCCACACTCTCGCTTAATCTCTTATCTCATTCCATCATTTGAGCCTTCAGTTTAGTCCCACATCTTACCTCATGCATATAGTTTTATCTCAATTGAATCGAGGCTTTCATAACTTCCAGTTAACTTGATTGCCACAATTAACTTTTAACATTTCGTGGGTACAGATCCTCATTATACCATATTTGAGTGCAGGGTAATTCTGAATTCTACCAACCAAAATCTACTTTTTGTTTAATTGAGGTTAATGATGAGGAAGGATTTGATTTATTCAGCACATAAAATAAGACCATCTGCTTGAAGAGATTCTTCATTTCTTTATCACTTTCCACCAATCACTTAAACATGATGTGCTGGGCATGAACTAAACAAAAATCCACCAAAATGTACAGTGTTTAATTCAATTTTATCAGCAGAATATCTAGTAAAAATAAAACCTTTTTGCATGATAAAACTAAAAAGCTTATGAACATATTTCAAGAAAATAAAATGAAAAAGCATATAAAACATATAGTAAATGTTACCTTATGATCAAAAGACAAGGCCACAGCAACACGACCCCTTGATAGGACAGCTCTAGAATCCCCACAATTCGCCACTACTAACTTTCCGTTACCAACCACCGCCACAACCGCCGTCGACCCCACCATCTCCTCCCCCAACCTCCCTCTGTTTACCTCTTCATCCATCCTCTCAAAACATCTCTCCATCGTTCTTCCCCAATCAATCCCGCTTCCATCCTTATTAGCCTCTACTATTTCCTCCATCAACACTTTGTGCAACCTTTCCTTACACTCCTCCGCCACCCTGGACCCGCCGTGTCCGTCATAAACTCCATAAAAATTAAACTTTTCCCCTCCTTTGACCATAAACCCTAACTCCACTTTCACTGCATCTTCCATCTCTCTTCTCCTACCGATAACTGATAGTAACCCATGCGACGCACACGTTAAAATTTGAACATCATCGTTGTCTCCAAGACCGGCTAAAACGATGTCGTTCTCTGACGATGATTGCTTTGACGAAGAAGAAGAGGAAGACAGTGAAAGCGATATTTCCGTTAAACCGTTGTTTGGTTTTGATCCATGAAGAAGACTGTGGTCTTTATCACCGTTGCTGCCGTTTTTTGTGATAGTTATGTTCATCATCGTCTGACACGTGCACTTCAATCTTCTAACTTCCAATCTTCTCCGGCGAGCATTCTTGGTTCTGCTGACCGTAAGTCTGTAGAGTTTACCGGGATCTGACGTCATTTTCCGGGGATTTTTTTTGATGAAGAGTGAAGCTTTACTATTTCTACTTCATTTTTTTTTCTGCGTGAAATTGAAAGGCAACGCTACTGGACAACACACGTTAAAGTTGATATAAATAAGGTGAGTGAAGAGTATTGAGCGTGGGCCGTTGATATTGTGCGATGGGATGGGCGTTAGCCACATGGGCTTTTATGTACCACCGACTGGGATTTTTCAAACAGAGAGGTGGAGGGCAATGATTTAGTTCAAAACACGTGGAGCGTGGATCTTGCGGCTAGTGATTCAGTAGGGTGATATAAGGGCCCCACCACTGATCTCTAGAAGTGATATTACGTGGCTTCTCGAGGGTTGTGGGTTATACTTTTTGGAGGGCCTCTTTTTTTTTTTTTTTTTTTTGCCAACAATTTTGGAAGGCTTTCTGTTAAGTTGTTTTATCCTGACAAGGAATGTTGACATGATAGTTGTAGGACACGTGTTGGATTCAAATCGGTCGCGTGTGGGATTTGTACCTCGTAATTGGGCCAGATTTCGGCGATATTTCGCGTCCGAATCTTCAGCTACGTCCCATGATTATCGATTTGATAAAATTAACAATGAAAAATATCAGGGAGAGATAGGTTTGATTGGATAACCGACGATAAAGCTGACAGACTTTTGCCCGTGAAATCTGATCGGTCGACAGAACAACGTATGTTGACTTGTCAGCAGACAGACTCAATCCTCAAAAGGTATTTTAGTTGGTGCACAAACTTCTGTCCACTGTCCTGCAAGACGTATGATCCACGTGGAGTTTATGGTTTAAATGAGAGAACCGGTGGATTTTTTTTTTGGCTCCTGTACTGGCCAAACAATGAGCAAATAAAGGTACTTTTCTACCAGGGCAAAATTGTAGGTTTCTTTCTTCCATGCCCTGTTGAATTGGTGTCTCAGACCAGGACAAATTGTGTTCAATGATGCATGTAAACATTCAAGGCAGAAAATAGATTTTTTCATGTTCATTTTTCTTGGGATTTCAGTTATTGATGTGAAAGCAATTCTAACAAATTGGAAATCAAGCCTAACATTTACATCATCATCAGATTGTAACGGGACAATTCCACATCATAGTAACTTAATTTCATCTCCCTCTCTCTATGAGAAGCCGAAAATTTCCCGAGGGGAATAGCAAGATGTCAACATCCTTGTACCACGAACACTTTAACATCAATAAGAAAAGCTTCACTATTGCCCCTTTGATGATGTTTGACAACTGCACAGTTACGTCAATGCAAAAGATTCACATGAACTCAAGATGAAAGGCTGTGATTAAAGAAGCAAAGCTGAAAAAGGGTGGGGGGGAAGGCCATACAAGAAACTGAAAGTAGACAGGTTGGAAACTGATTTGCTAGCTAAGAGGTTGGTTCAATGTTTCCTCATTACTACCATCTGTGTGAAACTTTTCTGCGCCCAAGTCATGTCAAGAAAAAGGAGCACAAGTATGCTAACGGGAATTATGAGTACTTTACAACCTAAAGCTTGAATTAAAAAAAACAAATCTACAAGTTCAGAATAACATGCTTCTACATCAAACAACATCAAAGCAAACTATGACACATCACTGTAATTTAAACGTCTATATATAGAAAGAAATTATAATTTATAAGCATTTTAGATATAAAGTAAGCAGAGAGAATGTACAATTGTATATAAAAAGCAGGGAATAAGAGGTATACAGGTAACAATTAGTGGAACAAGTGATAAATGCATCATCTTCAATGCCCAAAAAGAATGAGAATAAGGGATAAAGTTGCCAAACAAGGATCAAATTTGTTTGGACAATCAGAATTTAATCTGCGACACGGCGACAGCTACTGGACAGTTGTGGCATCTGACAAATTAAAGATCACCGTCCAATGCAACTTAGTGAACGCTCTTAATTGCTTTTTACCAAGAATGCATTTGTCACATAGATCACTTGATCTGATGAAAGCGACTTGAATTGTATGCAGTCACCAGTAATCCTTGCAAGAGCAGGTTCCATTTTTGATATGATGAAACCGATTTGAATCCCTTAAAACTATTTCTCTCCTTGTAGCCAATGAAATGTACTTGATTGCAGTATGACAGTCTCCACAAACACGGAGATTCTTAAAAACGCGAATTGTTTTTGATCTTGATGTGCTTATAAGTCCGAATGCAACTGCAATTTTCTCACTGTGTTGGAAAATATATTGCTCCTTTTGTTCCTCCTCAAGTTCATGAAGCACAAAATCTGTATCAGGGACATAGCCCAATCCCTTTATTTTTAAAGCCATTTCATCCAATTTCTCATAAATCTCCTGCACTTGTGGGTGTGACGTATCAGCCACATGGAACATGTGCATCTTATTGTCCACCTCTAGCCAACTACAACCAGCTTCTTTGATCAGATTTCTCTCCTTCATATTTTTCCTAATCTGTGCCACATCTTCCCATTGACCTGCAGAGGCAAACAAATTTGATAGTAATATATAGGCTGCAACATCATGAGGATCCTGCTGAAGTATCATCTTGGCAGCATATACCCCGAGCTCTTTGTCACGGTGGACTCGGCAAGCTCCAAGAAAAGTGCGCCATACCAAGGCATCTGGTGTGCAGGGCATCGTGTTTATGAACTCAATAGCTTCCCTGAGTGATCCTGATCGCCCCAATAAATCAACCATGCATGCATAGTGTTCCATTCTTGGGGCAATCCCGTGTTCCTTGTGCATTGACTCGAAAATTTCCCATCCCTTTGAAATCAAACCTGCATGGCCACAGGCTGATAAAACAGCAATATATGTGATCTCGTTTGGCTTAATCCCTGTCACCAGCATTTCATGGAATATTTCCAAAGCTCTAGTAGCAAATCCATGTTTTGCAAAACCTGTTATCATAGAAGTCCAAGATATAACATTTCGATCACCCATCTTCTTAAAAACTTGAAAAGCAGCTTCTATGTGTCCACACCTAGCATACATGGATATCAATGCATTAGAAATGCGTCGGTTTGACTGATACCCTGATTTAAGTAACTGAGCATGGATTTGCTCGCCCTTGCCAATTGCACCAATATTTGAAGCTCCACTCAGTAGACTAGCAAATGTGAAGGCATTAACCTCAATTCCGGTATCTGTGACTTCATGAAAAAGTTCAAAAGCTCCTTCAAAATCCAAGTTCTTAGAATAAGCATCGACCATAGTGTTGTAGGAAACTAAATTCTTCTCAAATAGAGATTCAAAAGCTTTTTGAGCATTATCCATCCTGCCTGACCTAGCATACATGTTTATAAGAGAGTTCCCCACACAATCATCTGAAACAAAACCGTGTTTTACTGCAAGGGCATAAAATTGTTCACCCATTCGTGAATCAGAAAGATTTCCACATGCCTTAAGAACACTAGAAAATGTGAAATGATTAGGCAGAACAGGACTTTCCATCATTTTGTGAAAGAGCTCAACGGCTTCCTTATCACGACCTCCACATTGCACATACCCCGTAATAATCGCAGTCCAAGACATAACATTATGATCTTCCATTCTATCAAACACCCTTCTAGAATCATCCAAAGACCCATCTATTGTAAGCTTAGCATACATGTCCACTAAACTACATCCAATGCAAACATCCAAAGCAAAACCTGACCTTATAACCAAAGAATGCAATTGCTTGCCAAGTGACAATAATTCCGATTCCAGTTCAGTACAAGCTGAAATTATACCACTTAGCGTAAACCGATCGGGCACATAGCCACCTATAACCATATCCAAGAATAAATCAATAGCATCCCTTGCGTAACCTAATTGTGTACATCTAGTTATCATCAAAGTCCAAGCAACCACATTTCTATCAGGCATTTTATCAAACACCTTAAAAGCTGACTCCAAATCACTATTTCCCTTCACAAACATATCAATTAAAGCACACCCAACATTTGTATCAAAATCAAGATATCCACTCTTCACTAAAAACCCTAAAATTATTTCCCCTATTGAAAAAAACTCGGCTTTTGAACAAGCCCGAATAACAGCCGTAAAGCAATACCCATTTGGACAAAACCCATTTTCAAGCATATCAAGAAATGTCAAAATTGCTTCAAATTCCATTTTCTTATTTGCGAAACAAGAAATCATTGCACTCCAAGAAACCAAATCTCGTTTATTTCCCATACTTTCGAATATTTTATGGGCTTTGGCCCAATCGCCGGATTTTGAGTACAAACTAATGAGCGAGTTAAAAACGACCGAGTCGAGCTCAATTTTAGACTGAGCCAAGTGGGTGTGAACGAGTTTACCGAGCTGAAACTCACGTGACCTGATGCAGGTCTTAAGGAGCAGAGAGTAGGTAATGAGGTCCGGATGGGTGTTTTGCCTGGCCATGACATCAAGGGTGGATATGGCTTTGTAAAGGTGGCCGGCATCGAGGTGTTGGACCAGACGGTCTCTGAGTGGTTCAAAGTCGATGGGGCTATTGACGGCTGGTGGCAATGATGACGGTGATGAGAGTTTTTGGCGGGAAGGGGTTGAGGGTTTTAGCGAATGTGGAAGGGTTCTGACCGTATAGGGAAGAGAAAGGTTCATCAACATCGCCATTTTCTCCAACAGGTAGTTTCCCTTGACTGGCCCTATTAAAAGCTCTAGGTTCGGGTCGTTTTGGGCCTACATCCCTAATTTGCCATATCTAATGTCGGTATATTTTGCCAGATTTTAATGTGGGCTTACCTGTTTCTTTTGGGCCCAATACAAAAAAAACACTGTAACTAATGGAGGTTATACAAAATTACATGGTTTTTTTTTTAAAAAATAAAAATTTGAGGGAATTGGGATATGGGATTATTCCTTTTTATGAATAGGGAAATATATGCAGTTTTTAATATGAATCAGATGCTGGGGGTAATTCTATACCTTTTCATGCATAATTGGATATAATTTCTGATAAACTCACGTAAAAAAATGAAAATAATATAAAATAGAATTAAATGTTTTAAAACATTTATTAATTTAATACGTAATATACGTATTTTATGAGTTATTATATAATTATGCTTAACTTTATTTGTTTATTTAAGTACAATTTTTGAAGTTAGGAATTAAAAACCAGCATTTTGATAAAAAGAGACATTCACTTATTGTTAAACAAAATATTTAAGTGCTAATTTCATCTTTTACCTTACATTTAATGTTATTAATGATGTATAAAAGTATATTCTTGAAAATTTTAATTCTTTATATCAACAATAATATGTTATAAGTATAAACAAAAAAACAACAATAATATGATTAGTATAAACAAAAATAAAATATTTAATTAATGGTAATTACTAATATATAAATAATATTATAAATGGTTTAAGTCTATGGCATGCACCAACTGATCAAAGTGTAACGAGCCCTTTTCTTACACTTGGGAGGAAACCTGCTAAAATAGGAGAAAAGACAAAATTAGAATTTGGACCTTGTGCTTGCATACCTGGCCTGCACTCTTGTCAAGCTGATTAATTTTAAATGGATTTCTCTCATTTTTCCCTTCAATTAGTGAAGACAGATTCTCGTTGGATTTGGCTGGGCACTTAACATGGACAAAAGGGAGAAAGAAAGTCAACTCCGGATTGAAAACTGTGGAAGATTAAACCCTCAAGATACTCCTATGCTGAGATTAAAAGGATAGCAAATTGGGGCAAGGAGAGGTGTTATGGAACTGTCTTCAAAGGCAAACTTTCCAACGGTGTTATAGTTGCTGTTAAGGTCCTCAATAATTTCGAGGGAAATGATGAAAAATTCAAATGAAGTGGGTTCGATGGGTAGAATCCGTCATGTGAATGTGACTCGCTTGGTTGGGTTTTCTGCTGATGGATATGAACGAGCTCTTGTTTATGAATACCTACCGAATGAGTCATTAGAGGAGTTCATAATTGCAGCCAAGGGCGAGAATCGTTCCCTTAGTTGGGAGAAGCTTCAGGATATTGCTGTTGCTGCAGCCAAAGGTACTGAGTAACTGAATAGCATCATGCTTGCGAGCAACGAATCCTCCATTTTGATATCAAACCTCACAATATTTTTCAAAAATATGTTATCTACAGTGTTTTAGGAGAGAAATAATACAATGATTCTAACAGTAGCAAAACGGATATATAAAGAATACTGAACTGTTAAAGATAGACTTTTGGGGCATTCCTGCAAATAGGGCATGTAGCATTCAATCGAAGCCATTCGTCAACGCATTCAGCATGGAAACAATGCTGGCATTGGGGTATACATGCCCTTGAGGGTCTCTTTGGACCGCCATTCAGACGAGCATATGGTTATCAGGTTTGGGAAGGCGCCTGCTCTCACCCAGCACCATTTTTGGATACGATTCTATAGTTGCCCAATCAAGGCCACCAACAATGGTGGCTGCGGTGGAACAACCGTTGAATTGAGCTCTGGGAGATTAAAATCTTTAAATTTTGATTGAATCTATAAAACTTTGAGTTATTGAATTCCAAGTGAAAAAATATATATTTGCAGACTAATAAAGACAATTATACAAGCATTCGAGTGCTAGTTGAGATGTTGAGCTGATCACAGAAAAAGGCAGTTGCAGATGAGGAGGCAATTAGAAATTGACAATGGATTTTGTGGAAATGGGTAATATAGCCGACTTATTTTTCCTGTATTACTTTTACTTTGAGAAACGTTCATCTATCAAACTCGTGACGCTTAACCCAAAGAAACAGAACCCGGCTTTGAAAACAACAAAAAAAAAAAAAAACGGAAATCACAGTCATCAAAGCACTTAAAATTTTCGTTCTTAATATAAAAATTAGAAGGAAAACAAAAAGAATTAAAAGTCGGAGCAGCGACCATTGCGTTCCCAATCACCGTAGCGAGTGGGCTCAGGGCCTCTAGGCCCGCCGACCTCCCCCGTCTCTTTGTTCACATGATCGCCATCTTCATCTTTCTTTCTTCTTCTTTATTCTCAACCTTCATCGGTTCCCGCTTTTCCTTGTTTACCTGTTCTTCATGGTTCAATTGAGGTCGCTGAGCAGCGGTGCACATGAACCGACTTGCCGAGTTGGAAGCGGACTGAATCATCGATTCTGATCTGAAACTACTTGAAGACAGTTTGAGGATGGAGAGCTCCGAGATTGATGAGAATAGACGGCTCAGGCTGGCTCTTGCCATTATTGCTGTCTTTTTAGGTCTCTTGATAGTGTAGAACAAAGAAAAACCTAAATTGGCTTTCGTCGAATGAAAGACGGAATGGTTAAAAAAAAAAGTGGGTGGGGAATGCTAGGACGGCGTCGTGTTGGTGTTTCATGCTGCTGCCACGTTTTGATGCTAAAATATTGCAACGTGAAAACTATAAAATGGTCTTTCAGGCCCAATTTCAATTCCATTCTAAACCCCAACCTAAAATATCTGTAAATTTAATATATATTTTTTAATTTATAATTTACTCGTGATATGAGAAAGGCTCCTTTTACATTAAATTTTTTTTACCAAAAAAATTAATTTCGATATTATACTTATAATTAGTGTTAGAAAAAGCTTGAATAAGACAATGAACGATTTTTACGAATAGATATTTCTCATGAGAAATGATAGAAAATTTATTCCACCATGGAATTGTCTACAAAACTTATTTCTAGACTTTTTAGGTACTAATTCATAATACCTGAATTTTTTTTCTCTAAAAGTATAAAATACTCTTGCAATTCGTATGGGTCACATAAAATTTAGATAAAAACCTTAAGTTTTAGTGACATTTTTTCTTGGGTCGAAAGTTTGTAGTGACATTGACAATACTCTATCTTGTAAAATGAAAATAACAAAGAGTATTTTGCGGCGAAATCCAGTTCTATCCTGAGAACTAGGCTTCAATCCTTACAAGAGTCAAAGTTAACCATAAGCTGAGAGCTACTTAAAGTTGCTTAGCTGAATACTTAATTTTGGACTACTTTTTTTGTCAAGTTGATCTCAAAATATTTGAGTAATGAATCGAACTTTAAATATTTTAATATTTGATATGAAAATTTTGAAAAATTAATCAAATTTTTATTATTTTAATATATTTTAGTAAATTTTAATATTCTAAATTATATAAAAAATGATAAAAATATAATATTTAATTGAATTTGTGTTACAGTCATATGGATTCAATCAATTAACTAAAAGTGTGTTTGGATTGAAGGGAAGGGAAGGAAAGTAAAGAAAAAAAAGTAAAAAAAGCAAAACCCATTCCCCTTATTTAAATAAATTTTTAATTTAAAGAAAAAAAAAAGGTGAAAACTAAATAATTTTTAGTTTTTTTTTATAAATTCAATTTTTTTAATACTTCAATTGGAGGAAAAGCTAAGGAAAAAAAAGTTAAAAAATATTTTTATATAAAAAGACTATTATATTTATTTTTTGATTAATATTAAAATTTTAATAAAAAATTTAAGTAGATCATAATTATCTTATAATTTTTTTAAAATCACTTCTTTTTTCAAATAAGTTTTAAATATTTGTTTCAATATAAAAACTACTGATATAATAATAATTATGAGATCAGTAAACATATCATGATCTAAGAATACTCTAAAATAATAGATAATGAAAGATTATAATTGAAAAAATTATTATAATAAATTTTTTTGTACTATTTACCTAAACAATAATTATTAGAATTTTTTTTTTTTTCATTATTAATTTTAATTATCTAAACAAAGGTTACATGTGTCATTTTTTTTCTTTAAAAAACTTTCTTTTCTTTTTTTTTTTATTAATATTTATCTAGCCTAAAGCAATTGAACGAAGAATAAGAACATAATTGATCAAGCAAGAAAAGAATCAAGAAAAGGGAAGAAAAAGTCTTGAGAGAACAACAGAGAAAGAAGTCTCCAGAATTCTGTTTTCATTTCTTAATTTTCTCAAATGATTGTCAACTGCCTCTTTAAACTAACTCCCTATAACAGAAATATGAATGAAATGACAGAATTGTCACTAATGACTGCATACACAAGTATAGCCAACTAACTACTGTAACTACTTATGTAAGACTTCCATCAATACTCCCCTGGTACAGAAATCCTTCTCCTTAAGGATGAAAATCTGAATACTTGTTCTGCAACTCATAAAGAACCTCCCACATTGCATCTTCAGGAAAGGAGTTGGTCTAGTGCACCAGTACCCCGTAACAGCCTTATTTCCATTTTTTCCCAACCTCCTGTCTATGATCTGTAAGGGTTCCTTTGCAATAGTTCCATCTTCCCCCACCATTGGTAGCTGCTGCTGCGCAGGGTGCTTGCCAACATGTCCCTTAAGTTGTGAGACATAGAATGTAGGATGTATCTTAGACCCTGGAGGCAATTTTAGTCTGTATGCCACCTTCCCAACTTTTTCCAAAATCTGACAAGGTCCAAAATATTTCTCTGCTAACTTGAGACAGCTTCTATTGACAACAGAATGCCGTCTATAGGGTTGAAGCTTCACATAGACCCAGTCTCCCACCTCAAACACTCTATCACTTTTTCTTCGGTTGGCCATATTTTTCATCCTGACATGAGCCCTTTCCAAGTAAAATTTGAGCATCTTAATGGCAGCCTCTCGAGCTCTTAGAATCTGATACTGTCCATCGCGGAGTCACCAGCTAAATAAGGAATGTGAACTGGTGGAGGCTGACCATACATAGCTTCATAAGGAGTTGTATGTATGGCAGAGTGATAAGTTGTGTTGTACCACCACTCAGCCAATGCCAACCATTGGCTCCACTTCCTGGGTCGTTCACTCATCATGTATCTAAGGTATAATTCCAGACACTTATTCACCACCTCGGTCTACCCATCTGACCAAGGATGGTAAGCCGTAGATACATTCAGGGAGATACTCTGTCTCTTAAAGAGTTTTTACTAGAATTGGCTCA